GCTGTGGAGCTGGTGGGGTTCCATGTGGCCCAAGGTGGAGCTGGATGGGAACCTGTCCCTCACTGTACAGAGGAATGACGTAGCCCAGGGCTCACTGCCCCCAGGTGCCAGGTTGGGATTCCACTCCAGGACCACGGAGTTCATGCTCTTCCCAGGTTGCTTTATTATCCTGTTGTTCCCTCCTTATCATGAAGGCATCCTTTTTTTTTTTTTTTTAATTTATGATAGTCACAGAGAGAGAGAGAGAGAGAGAGAGAGAGAGGCAGAGACACAGGCAGAGGGAGAAGCAGGCTCCATGCACCGGGAGCCCAACGTGGGATTCGATCCTGGATCTCCAGGATTGCGCCCCAGGCCAAAGGCAGGCGCCAAACCGCTGCGCCACCCAGGGATCCCCATGAAGGCATCCAAAGGGCACCCCAACCTCTTCTTCCTCCTCGGTTTTCCTAACAGCACTGAGCAGAGGCTAGCCAGTTGCTGGGTGTCAGTCCTCTCTCCAAGTCCTCATCAACAAAGTGCAGAGGCCACAAACACCAGGGGCCCTGGCATCTGGAGGGAGGATCTAGCCATGGCTCATTAGAAGGTTGGGACTGGGGATCCCTGGGTGGCGCAGCGGTTTGGCGCCTGCCTTTGGCCCAGGGCGCGATCCTGGAGACCCGGGATCGAATCCCACGTCGGGCTCCCGGTGCATGGAGCCTGCTTCTCCTTCTGCCTGTGTCTCTGCCTCTCTCTCTCTCATTCTATGTGACTATCATAAATAAATAAAAATTTAAAAAAAAAAAAAAGAAGGTTGGGACTGGGCAGTCCCAGTGGCCCAGCGGTTTAGCACTGCCTTCGGCCCAGGGTGAGATCCTGGAGATCCAGGATCAAGTCCCACGTCGGGCTCCCTGCATGGAGCCTGCTTCTCCCTCTGCCTGTGTCTCTGCCTCACACTCTCTCTGTGTCTCTCATGAATAAATAAATAAAATCTTTAAAAAAAAAAAAAAAGGTTGGGACTGGAGACTTTAGTGGCTCCTAGAGGAGGGGTAAGTCGAGGCAGTGCCCCACAAGGAGCCAGCAGGGTTTGTCCAATCAGGGCTTCTCTGGCTTGGGGGGTAAAAGTTTGTGGCCATTGTCTGCTTATTTTGTTTGTTGGACAGTGAGTGTTGATTCTGTTGCCAGCCTGTGTCAGGTACTAGGGGTTATGTGCAGAGAACCCACAGTCCTTGCCAGTGAGATCTTATGGTCTGCAGGGGAGTATTATCTGTAATAGGTTGTGGAAAGCACCTAGGACTGTCATGCACTGTTGCACAGATTGTGCACTGCTCAACTCTAAGGGCATATTTCACATAAACTGTGAGATGAGTGAGTTGTGACACACCAGCAGCCCAGCTGTCCACGGTGGCCTAATGCCCTCTCATAGACATAGTATAAGGCTGTGGGCTGTCAAGGGAGGACCACACCCCTCTGGTGGGAGGTGAGAGAGATGGGGTGGCCAGTGCCAATCAGAAAAGACTTTACTCCAATGAAGATGCTGAAACTGTGTCTTAGGGGGTGAGCAGCAAGTCTCCAGCCAAAGAAGAGGGAAGGGTGGGCCAGGCAACGGGAGGAGCATTTGTCAGCCTTTGGAGGCATGAGACTGGGAAGGCAGGCCAAGAGTGGGGGGACGAGACGAGGTAGGAGGCTGGTACAGTCATCGGAGCAGGAGTTCACGTGGAGGCGAGTGGTAAACAGAGGAGGAACTTGAGAGCAGCTCTCCGTAGGCAAGGAGGGGTGGGGCTAGAGACGAGGAGCAGAGCGACGGGGAGCAGGAGGGGCCTGGGGCCTGACTCCCCAAGTCCGACCAGAACAGTAGTTGCTGTCCTTCGGGCTGGCTCAGCCTCCCGGAGGCCTGCCTGCACCAAGGCACACACCTGGGGATGGGTGTCCAACAGCAGAGCCTCAGAGCACTGGGCCCCAGGGACAGGTCACATCAACAACATGTTTATCCCCCATTTACCCAGAGGCTGCTGCTGTCTTCTGGGGCGATTGCTGTGGTCTATTTCTGGAGCATCCCTCACAGCCAGGAGGGCACAGGAAGCAAGTGCCATTCCTGTGTGCTGCCACAGACAGCTGGGCGGCCGCTCCCCACACCCAGTGAGTACGTGTTGGTGACAATCCGGTGCCTGGGGGGCTCCTAGGGCTCCTTCTGAGTGCACAGGGGTCCCCGAGAAGAAGCCGGGCCAGACCAGTGATTGCCACCTACAAAGGTTATGATCACTTGCTGTTGTCCCCGAGCAATCACAGATTTCATTTGTCCAGGGAATACTGCAAACTGGCTGTGGGACAGACAGGGACAGTGATGCGATTTGAAAACCAAGGAGCCGGGATCCCTGGGTGGCTCAGCCATTGAGCATCTGCCTTTGGCCCAGGGCATGATCCTGGAGTCCCAGGATCAAGTCCCACATTGTGCTCCCTGCGTGGAGCCTGCTTCTCTTTCTGCCTATGTCTCTGCTTCTCTGTGTGTGTGTCTCTAATGAATAAATAAAATCTTTAAAAAAAAAAAAAAGAAAGAAAGGAAAGAAAAAAAGAAGAAAAGAAAGGAAAGAAAAAGAAAGAGAGAAAGAGAAAGAGAAAGAAAGAAAACCAAGGAGCCAGGATCCCTGGGCGGCTCAGCCATTGAGCATCTGCCTTTGGCTCAGGGTGTGATTCCAGGGTCCTGGGATCGAATCTCCCTCTGCCTGTGTCTCTGCCTCTCTCTGTGTGTCTCTCATGGATAAATAAATAAAATCTTTAAAAAAAGAAAGAGAGAGAGAGAAAGAAAAAGAAGGGAAGAAAGGAAGAGAAAGAAAAGGAAGGAAGGAAGGGAGAGAAAGGAAGGAAGGAAGGAAAGAAAGAAAAGAAAGAAAAGAAAAAAAGAACAAAGAGCCAGAGGGAGATTGAAGAGTGTGCGCAGTTGCTTGAGCGAGTGTCAGCCGGGGGGAGCATGCCACCTCCTTTACGACTGCAACACAAGCAGTTTCTTTCAAGTCAGGTACATCAGTAAAATTCACCCCTTACAAGCGTGTACGATCTCACGACCGCCACCACAGTCAAGATACCAAGCACCTCTGTAATCCCAGAACGTCCCCCGACGCCCTTGTAAAGCCAACCCCGACCCAACCCAGCAACCACCAATCGGTTCTCTGTCCTTAGCGCTGCGGCTCTCCCAGGATGTCCTATAAACGGAATCAGATAATACGTAACCTTTTGAGTCTGCCTTTAACTTCAGCAAATGCACTGGCGATCCATCCGGATCCATCCGCACTAACCGCCCGAACCAGTAACTCCTTCCTTTTGACCCCCCGCGGTCTTCCAGGGCCACGGGGTCTCTGGGCAGAGGTGGGAGGCACCTGCAGGCAGGTCTTTGTGTGGTCCTGTTGCCGTCCTCGGGATTGCCCGAGAGTGGGGTTGCTCAGCCGAGAGTGGGTTGCTCAGCCGAGTGGTCTGCAGATGTCTAACTTGACAAGAAGCTGCCGAGCTCCTCCAAACGGCTGCACCGTCTTGCATTCTTCTCAAGTCCAGTTGCTCTGGTTCCTGGGGAAAAATTTCAAGAATAAAGCAAACTAGGCTTTGGTGCCGCAGGGCAGCTGATGGGAGATGCGCCACACCCGTCCCTTGCACCCCCATCCCCCTGCATATATACACCCCCACCCTCGTCCCCTGTACCCCCATCCCTTCTGCACACACCCCCACCCTCATCCCCTGTACCCCGTCCCCTGCACACCCCCACTCTCATCCCCTGCACCCCCATCCCGTTGTACACACACACGTTCCCTGCCCCCATCCCCCCTGCACACACACACACCCGTTCCCTGCACCTCCATCCCCCCTGCACATACACACACCCATCCCTGCACCTCCATCCCCTGCACACACTCACCCACCCCCGACCCTACACCCCATCCCCTGCACACTGCACACACACACACACACCCCCACCCTCGTCTGCTGCAACCCTGAGTCCCCTTCAGGGTTCTTTTCCGTTTGAGTCTGTAGAAGTGCTGTTCCGGCCCTTGCTGGGGTTATTGCTGGACCTCTCGCTGTTAGGCCTTCCCGTGATAGATGGCTTTTACACATCGGGCACGCAGCCCGTGCCGGGCCTGGGCCTCGCGCTCGAGAGCCACGGTGACGCCAGATAAATGACCACAGGCTGTTTCCTGCACGCCACGGCTTGTTCATGCCCTCTCTCCCTGCAGCTGCACCCGGGGCGTCCTGGGGGCCGTTCTAGCTGGAGGAGGGCCAGGGAGACAGGCCTTGAGGGGCAGCCACCCCCAGCCCCCTGCATGTCTGCCAGGCGTGGACTCAGCCAAGATACAGAGGAGCAGAGGGATTGCCAGCCCCTGGCCTGGGGAAATTGATGTTCTTGTGTGGGGCACAAATGAGCAACGTACACCCCAGGCTAAGCAGTATGACCAAAGATGACGAGTGACAGTTCGGGGATCCGTTCCCCCCACCCCCCAGTGGCACAGACGGCTGCACCCCTTTCTCATGTGAGGACACAAAGTACTCTGAAGGCTGGGTTGCTGGTTGGGTGACATGGATTAGGTCCTAAATGACCCTGGGAACCCTGTGAAGTTGATAAGGAGAGGGGTGGGACCATAGCAGGAGGCGGGAGGGTGGGCAGCAATAGGGTCGAGAAGGCTGAACTTGGGGGCGCTACAGGTAAGACAGGTGCCCTCTGTGCTCCCTGCCAGAGCTGCGCTTCAGCTGCTCCTTCCCCAGGGAAAAAGTGGGATTGGAGACCCTTGAGCTGTGGGAGCCTAGAGGTGGGCCGGCTCAGAGGTCCCCAAAGATTGGGGGGTGCGGAGAGGACAACCGGGCTCCCTGAGACCTGGGTCGGAGACAGAGAGCAGTGGGTGGGGTGGGGGCAGCTTCCTGGACACCACCCAGCAGCCTGGGGGTAGAGCTCGGGGCAACCAGTCACCTTCGGCTGGGTCACAGGGTCCTGGCAGGTCCGAGGTGGGACTGACGTGCTCTCCTCTGTCTGTCCCTCCGCCATCCAGGTGCAAGTTCTTCAGCCTAACCGAGACGCCGGAGGATTACACCATCATTGTTGATGAGGAGGGGTTCCTAGGTGAGTGCTTCTGTCACCCGGGCTTGGCTGGACTGTGGCCTGCGGTCAGTGCTGACTGCACGCTGCCTTATTTCTGCCCCCTGCCTGCCGCCTTATTTCTGCCCCTACTCATCTTATTTCTGCGCCCTGCCCACCGCCTTATTTCTTCCCCTACCCACCTCATTTCTGCCCCCTGCCTGCCCGCCGCCTTATTTCCTGCCCCAATCACTCATTTCTGTCCCCATCCTGCTGCCTTATTTCTGCCCCCCCCTCCTTCCTGCTAGGTTAGAAAGTCAGCAGAATCTGTTTTCTTCTCTCCCTCTGCCCTGGCTGCTCCCTTCCCTTTCTGCTCACAAGACCGCCCAGGGAAAGGCCCCGAAGCTAAAAGGGTCAGTTAGACACAGTGCTTATCCAGTTGGGAACTAAAGGCTACCAAGAAGAAACCCAGGGCTTGTTTTTATTGAGCACCTACTGTCGAGTGAGATGCTTTATTTATTTTTTTTTAAAGATTTTATTTATTTATTAGAGCGCATGCACATCCAGGGGCAGAGGGAGAGGGAGGAGCAGACTCCCCTGATAAGCATGGAGCCCGATGTGGGGCTCAGTCCCAGGACCCCGGGATCATGGCCTGAACCAAAGGCAGATACTTAACCGACTGAGCCACACAGGTGTCCCAGAGTGAGATGCTTTAAAACATCCTCAGTCCATTGTTCCCAGGAGTGGTTCCTGTAAGCGGTGATGATCTTCCTTTTACGATGTTCCTTTGCATAAAATCCACCCTTTTAAAGTGTCCGGTCTGGTGGTTTTTGATATGCATGGGGTTGTGCAGCCATCCCCACCATCTGATTCCAGAGCATGTTCATCACCCCAAAAAGAAACACCAAACCCTGTACCTGTCAGCAGCCCTCCCTGTTGCCCCCCACCCCCACATCCTTTCAGTTTTATTTAGTCCGGGTTGTTGTGTTTGTCCTGGTCTAAAGCACAGCACGGGTTCCTTTGTGCTAAGCGTACCCAGGGGTTCACGAGGAGGTGGTGGTATTTGCACCCTAGAGCGAGGAGCAGCGAGTGGAGAGGAAGTCACACACCCAGGCTCACAAGCCATGAAGTTGAGCGCGCACACGCACACACACACACGCCCCCGACCCAGAGCTGGGGTTCCCTCCGAGCCCCTCAGTTCCCTCCTCAAAAGCATACAGAGAATGCAACAAATCCAACATTTTTATAAAAGCCCTCTCCTGCCCCAGTGACAACTCCTGGTCACGTTTCCATCTTTCTCTTTCCAACATCTACTGTGCATGGGCTGTTTTTAGTGTACGTGTGATAGTGTCCTGGAGGGAAACATTTTCGCCTGATGCTGTAACGTCATGTTTCCTGTGATATCGCAGCCTCCTGCGATGAGCGTCGTGGATGGGGCCTGCCCCCTTGCCCTGTCCCCTCTGGTTAGGGTCCATGCGGGTTTCGCTGTTCTCCGGTGATAAGTTTATGAGCTCCTGAAACATGTTATCTTTATTCTTACTCAGGCTGATTCCTAAAATGGGGTTGGAGACACAGCATTATGGGGTCAGAAGCCAACTGTTGATGGGGTTCTCAGTACAAATTGGGGCCACCGTGTGAGATGGGGGAGCCCTAGAGGAACAGCTTCACCCCGGCACTCTGTCCTTACACGCCCCCGCCCTGAGCACCTAGCCAGTATGGGGGACCGTCACCTGGCCCCCCATGTCTAAAGAGGCACAGTGTTCCTCCTTGCCTCTAAGGGGACAGGGCAGGCCCTAAGGCCCAAAGCTGTCTGCTCATTCATTCATTCATTTATTCATTCATTCAGCATGACACTTTCTGAGCCAAGGAGCCACAAACAGAAACCTTGGCCTTAACCACAAAGCAGGTCACATGCTTGGGCAGCCCAAAGCCATTTCCATTTTTGTGCGGGCCCTGCTGAGAAGTGTGGCACCTCAGACAAGAGGGAACGCCCCAGAGCGTCTCTTCCCTGGAACACATATCCTGTCTAAGCCGAACTCTCCGTCTTGAGGCAGCAGATGAGCCAGCTCGGTGCACAGGGAGGGAGGGAGGGAGGCTGGCCGCAGGACCCGGGGAGCCGGTGTGGCAGCCCTGGACACCCACGTCTGTAGGGATCATCAGCAGGGAGGTGTCCGGCAGCTGTGTGGCTGTCTGTTCAGAGCCAGCCCCCCGGGGTGCAGGAGGCACCTTTGACCCCGCGAGCCTCAGGGCCTGCCAGCTGCTGACACTGTCAGCTGTTGAGTCTGAGTCGTGATTGCGGTTGAGTCACGGCACCCTGCTGTGCAGGACTCCCCCTCCCCCCCCAAGGAGGAGCCCTTGAAATAGGAAGTGCCATAGCAGAGCAGATACGTGAGCGCCCTGAATCTGCACACACCGACTTATTCTATGGCCCCGACACAGCTGCTGGCTGCAGACTCTGCGCTCATGAGCCCTGGGAAAGATTCTTATTAACTTCATTTATAGACAAGGAAACTGAAGCACAGAAATGTATGTAACCTGCCCAAGGCCTCAGGGTTGGTGTCCTCTCTGGATGCTTCCATGGCATGGGCCCTCGCCAGGGGAGGTCAGAAGTGCAGGAATCCTGCCTTTGCCCCTAAGGTACTTACAGCTCTGGGAGGACAGAAACTCAGGAACCAGAATTATAGTCTCAAGAGAGAGTGGCACCCAGCCAGCCGGCAGATGTGCAGTCCAAGAGGACTTCCTGGAGGAGGCAGTGCTTGAGACAAACCCAACTAAATGAGTACAGAGCCTACCTGGTGGAACCTGTGGAATTGGGAGCGGGGAGGCTTCCAGAATGGAGGGTTGCTTGGCACTCCCAGAGAACTGAAGGTGAGAAGACAGAGCAGAAAGAGGTCAGATGAGAGAGGCCAGGAGAGGCGGAGGTAGGGGGAGCCAGTGAAGGGTCTTACCTGATCTTGAAGGGCTTGGCTGGAGGAGAGAGCCGAGTAAGGACCCTGGTACTCTGAGGACAGAGCAGGGATCAAGAAAGAGTCAAACTCTGAATTGACCTGGGACTTTTGCTGCAGGAAAAAGGCTGCCCAGCAGGGAGCCTCACACTGTATTTGGGTCTGGAAGACCTGGTGAGCCTTCCTGCATTTCCCTTTCTGGGGAGCTCAGAAGAGGACACTCTTGGGGAGTTTACATAGTCACAGAAGGCTTCCTGGAGGAGGCGATTTTTGTTGCCCTTAAAGAGGGAGAGAGTATGTCAGGTGGGGACGTATGAGCAAGTACAGAAGCAGAAGCAGAAACCACGTCCAAAAAGCAGATGGAAAGACAGGTTCAGGCAAAATAATGAGAGCAGCAGTACCTGCCCTGACCTCTGGGTGGTGGGCAGAGTCTGAGGTTTGCGGCTTAGAGGGGCCCAGTGCTTGTGGGTCTCGTGTCCGGCAGTGTGAGCCCTACCACAGCGGGGGGGGGGGGGGGGGGGGGGGGGCGGGGGCGGGGCATGAGTGTGCAGGAGGTGGAGGGAGGAGTCCTTGAGAAGTCTCACCCCCGGCTGGGATGGGAAGACCCAGGTTCGGATCCAGCTCTGCCAGTGTCACTGCTGGTGATTTCTGGGCAAGCTGCTCAGCTTCCCAGAGCCTCATCCCAAACACAGGATCCCCTGTCCCTTCTGTAGGCACACTCGCGACCATGCAGCATGCGCGTGCTTGGCAGGCACTAGGGGTCGCCGTGTGCACTTGGCGTGTCAGCTGGGGCAGAGGGCTGTGCCCACAGAGCTGTGAGCTCCTGCCACCCGCCTTGTGGCTTGTACTTGACCATGTCAGCAAAGCTAGGGGACAGAGCGGTGCCCCCAGCGGGAGGCGCCAGGAGGTCCCAGTCGGCCAGTGCTGACTGTCCCCCTGAAGTCCGTCCTCCCAGGGAGCACTAACAGGAGGTGGTGCCCACTTGTATTTGGACTGTCCCCGTGCTCTGCCCACACTATGTAAAATAACCTGGAGCTGAAATTGCATTTTGGGGAGGGGAGGGGTGGGCCTTGAGTGCCTCCCCCTGCAGAGTCCTCGCCGTTGCCATGACACCCCAGCTTCCCCCTGCCCCGGCCTCCTTCGTATTTATCACACCTATGGAATGAGACATTTACTCTGTATCTAACATACGTCCTCCTCTCCTCAGTTATCCAAAAATTTACTTTATAGCTGGGAACTGTGTTTTTTAAGCAGACGTGTAGAATTCTGTCGTAGGTAAACTGTGGTTCATCTGCCTGGCCCCGTCGTTAGATTTTAGGGAGCACCCAGGGAGGTGTTGGTTTTAAATCCCTTTGGGTCACACACTTGCCCGTGAGTCTTGTCTTTGCCCTACGTGTTAACTGCTCCTTTACAGTGAAATTGCGCCTTGATAAAACTCCTGATATGTGTTGGCCAACTGTGATCGAGAAGCCAGCAAAAGCACCACCAGCAGTGTACTAACAGGAAGGCTCTGGCATTTGGTGAGCACTTGGACGCCAGGCACTTAGCTAAGCGCTTGATGGGGATTATCTCATTTAATCCTCGAAGCATCTTCTGGAGCTGATCCTGATTTCATCGTTCTGCATTTACAGTTAAGAGACTAAGGGGCGCTGACTTTGCCCAAAGTCGTACAGACAGGATTAAACCCTCCCGCCTGACCCCAGGACTCTCGACCCTGCTGCGAGCAGGGTAGGAGAAGCCTGAGAAGCACAGGCTGAATGGGGAGCGTGCTTCTGTGTAGTTCAGGGAACCGCAGGGTCCTACAGTCGGAACAGAGGAGGCCTGGCGTGGGGGTACGGAGAGCAGGGCAGCACAGGGGGCAGGAGGGGCGGCTCCACCCCCCACAGAGCCGCCCACCTCTATGGCTGGAGGTGACAAGACACCGTCAACCTCTACTACCACACAGCGTACACAGCTCTGAGAGGCTATTTTTAGGGTCTTGTACTATGTGTGGTGACAGAAATAATCCATTTTTGTCTTGGAATGGGTCCACTTTTCCTCTAGGGAAGGGCAGGCTTGCTGCCTCCTGGTCAGCCTTCTGGCAGCTCATCCCCACGGTCCCAACATGGGGGGGGGTTGGCGGGGGGTGAGGACGGGCCCCACACAGCCTTCCCTCGCCCCGTGCAGAGTGCCGGAGCAGCGTTTGAGGTCCCTGCTCCTCTGACAAAGTGCACCCTCCTGGCAGTGTCGGAGGGTGATCGCTGGTCTGAAGCTGACCACGGTCAGTGGGTGCTAGCCAGGGCCGAGAGCCAGGAGCCCATCGCGGCCACCTGCTGCCCAGACAGCTGGACTGACCTGAGATCCTGTGTCCCCGCCTCCACCCCCACCACCCCGTCTTCAGCTGGCCTCGGGCCTAGGCTGCTCCCCGCCACCTACTGTCACCTGGAGGGGGGCTGACTGCCCAGAGCTTTCTGTGCACGCGTCCACGAGCACACGGGCAGCATCCTGCTCCGTCCCCCATGGGTGGGCCGAGTATTCAAAGAGCTTGGCCGTGGCTGGGGAGAGCCTCTGTGGGAATGGCACTGGCTCCCTGCTGAGGCCTTGGCCAGATCCTGGGCGTCTGGGAGCAAGGGATGATGGTGAAGGCCACCACCCCCTCAGGTCTGGCAGGGTGCCTGAGCCCTGGCCAGGCCGAGCAGAAGGTGGCTGGGCGGGAACAGCGGGGCCTGGACAGAGCAGAGAGCAGGGACCTCTGTCCCTCATCCACTCATCTCACACCTGTGCGTGGCAGAGAGCAAAGCAGACGAGGCCACCGTCCCGTGGAGCTGGCCCGCTAGCAGGGCCACTTGTAGATTTGGACTGCCCCATACGGTGGCCGCTCACCTTGCATAGCCACCAGAAATGAAAGGAATCACAAATCAAACTTACAGTCCTGGGGCAGCCCGGGTGGCGCAGCAAACTTATAGTCCTGTTTCTTCTGTTGCACTAGCCACGTGTGAGCTGCTAGCATTTTGGGCAAGCGGAGGTGTAGAGCCTCTCCATCCCTGCACAAAGCTCCCACGACAGCGCTCCTTGAGAGCTTTGTGAGAAAGGACCTCGGGTTTTTTTTTTTTTTTTAATTTATTCATGAGAGAGAGGCAGAGGCAGAGGGAGAAGCAGGCTCCTTGAGGGGAGCCCAATGCGGGACTCGATCCCAGGACCCTGGGATCACGCCCTGAGCTGAAGGCAGACGCTCAACCACTGAGCCACCTGGGTGCCCCAGGACTTTGGCTTTTACCCGAGATACGCGGGGAGCTGCTGGGTGGGTTTGGGTAGAAGGAGCCTGGAATGGGGGGCAGAGGGCTGGTTCGCAAAAGCTTGTATTAGCATGCGGCAACATAAGACATAAATGACCCTTCCAGAATTTTCCCAAGAAGGCCAAAGGGATCCTGCTCTCATGGAAGGGGCATTTTCTTTCTTTCTTTCTTTCTTTCTTTCTTTCTTTCTTTCTTTCTTTCTTTCTTTTTTTTTTTTTTTGATTTTATTTATTTATTCATGAGATACAGAGAGAGGCAGAGACACAGGCAGAGGGAGACTCAGTCCTGGGTCTCCAGGATCAGGCCCTGGGCCAAAGGCAGGCACTAAACCGCCGAGCCACCCAGGGATCCCGGAAGGGGCATTTTCAAGATTTCATCATTAAATATTAAAATGATGGCTGCCCACTATCAGGATCACAGGAAGTGTTGGGTTGACCATCTCACACAGCTGGCCCATCAGGATCCCCGGCCCTCGGTGGCTCCGGGGGCTGGCTGTGCAGATGATGGCAGGGTTGGGGGGTTCACAGTGCTGCCCCCCCCAGGGCTACGCCCCTCAGGATTTCAGAGCTGGAGCTGTGTGTTCTCCCATAATGCAGGGCTGAGGGAAACCAGGAGAGAAATCCCAGGGCCCCCTACCCTGTCTCCTGGTTTCTCTTCTACTCCCAACCTCCTGAGAGGTTCCCGGGAACCTCTATGAAAACTGGGGAGTGAGGGGGTGCACCTGGATGGCTCAGTCAGTTAAGCGTCTGACTCTTGATTTCAGCTCAGGTCATGATCTCAGGGCTGTAGGATCCAGGCTCCTTGCTAAGCGGGGAGTCTGCTTGAGATTCTCTCCTCTTGCCCCTCCTCCCCTGCTGTGCACTCTTTCTCTTTCTTAAATAAGTAAATCTTAGGGGATCCCTGGGTGGCACAGAGGTTTGGCACCTGCCTTTGGCCCAGGGCGCGATCCTGGAGACCCGGGATCGAATCCCACATCGGGCTCCTGGTGCATGGAGCCTGCTTCTCCCTCTGCCTGTGTCTCTGCCTCTCAATCTGTGTGACTATCATGAATAAATAAATAAAATCTCTTTAAAAAATAAATAAATAAGTAAATAAGTAAATCTTAAAAAAAATAAAATAAAAAGTAAAATGGGTCCTGTTCCACCCATATGAGGGCCGTGGCCGCAGCCCCTGACCGCCAGAAGGGTAATGCAAACTGGAAATAACAAAATCATTACTCACTGCTGACTACCCATCGTTTCACGGCTGAGGCAATAGAAACCCAACACACATAAGCCGCTTGTCACCCAGGCTCCTGCCCTGCCAAGTGGCCTGGCACGTCCAAAGTCCTCTGAGGGCCTTCCCTGCCTGGTCCTCCCAGGATGGGACCTCCGATCCTGTCCTCCTTTGACAGATGAGGGTGCCGGGGCCCAGGGGCCAGAGCTGGCCAGGGTCCCACAGCTGGCCCACGCCTCTCTCCCCATCCCTGCAGCCTGCCCTGCCCCCTGCCCTGAGGACCCGGGACCCTTCAGTCACAGGCCTGCCTTCTGTGTGTGTCTCCCCCACCCACAGAGCTGCCCTCCTCAGAGCACCTGAGCGTGGCGGACGCCACCTGGCTGGCCCTGAACGTGGTGTCAGGCGGGGGCAGCTTCTCCAGCTCGCAGCCCATCGGCGTGACCAAGATTGCCAAGTCGGTCATTGCCCCGCTGGCCGACCAGAACATCTCCGTGTTCATGCTCTCCACCTACCAGACGGACTTCATCCTGGTGAGCTGTGGCCCCCATTGCGCAATCCGCTCAGAGGCCAGGACTACCTTAGGGTCATGGGTCAAGTGTCAGCATGGCCCAGGCAGGACTGCGGGGCTCTGACCAGCCCCACACACCACTTGCCTTTTGCGGGCCAGGCTTGGTGTGACCCAGAGCTCAGGATGTGAGGGCTGGGAGCACGTGCAGGCAGGGGTGGCCAGAGCGTCTGGTCACAGGGCCCATGGCGGATCCTGGCCACTATGCCATTCATTCTGTCCTCCCACAGGTGGGGCCACCCTCCAGAGCTTGGGCCTTGGAGGGGTGGGGACAGGTCTAGGCACAGTCCTGCAGGGTGAGAAGGGGCATACCCCCCAGCCCTCTGCAGAGTCCTGTCTCCCCTGCATCATCCCTGCCACCCTCGGGGAGGCCCAAGTACCTGGTTCCAGGCTCCCGTTCCCCCCAGCATGGGGAAGCTGGTTCTGGGAGCAGAATCCCCCAGTGGCCCGAGGGACACTCACATCCTTGACTCCCTGTCCCCAGGTACGCGAACGGGACCTGCCCTTTGTCACTCACACCTTGTCATCAGAGTTCACCATTTTGAGAGTCGTCAATGGCGAGACGGTAGCAGCTGAGAACCTCGGCATCACCAATGGCTTCGTGAAGCCCAAAATGGGTGAGTTGAGGGGGCTCCGTGCAGGGGAGAACTCAAGAAGTTACCAGGTCCTACCCCAGAGCAGCCACATCTCAGAGTATCTGTGATGCACCAGACATAACAAAGGGTAAGAGTCCTGGTCAGACCCTGCTCTCAAGGTCTAGCAAGGGCAGGGGACATGGACACGGCCGGTGATGGCCAGAAGCCACTCCTCAGCCACCCGAGGTACCAGGATGGGCCTCCCAGAGGCAGCGACTCTCAAACTGAAGCTTGGAGCACAAGTAGGAGCTCAGCCAGATGGTAAAGGTTGGAAAGGCCATTCACTCCAGGCAGTCGGCAAGGCATGTGCTAAGGCCCGGGGGTCTGGAAGTGAGCCTGGAGAATCGAGAGCCGTGGGTGGTACCGGAGGCTGCAGAAGGAGCAGGGACCAGGTCTCCCGGAGCAGCTGTCAGCTGACCCCACTCCTCTTCCCGGGTCCTCCTCCCGCCCCATGCCGCTCCTCCCGGCCTCAGCGCCCGCTCTCTTTGCTCTCGCAGTCCAGAGGCCTGTCATCCACCCTCTGTCCAGCCCAAGCAATAGGTTCTGTGTCACCAGCCTGGACCCTGACACGCTGCCTGCAGTTGCCACGCTCCTCATGGACGTCATGTTCTACTCCAATGGGTACGTCCCCCTTGAACATGAGAGGCCGCAGGGAGCCCCAGTCTGAGTGGGGAGACAGATCTGCCATCTGCCCTGGAAGCTGGTCCGAGGGTGGGGGTGGATCATAGCTCTACCCAAAAGTCACACTCTGTGAGGGGAGACATCATTCCTTGGCAACCCCTGAAACATGGTGAAGCCCCAGGGGCATATATGTTTATGGGATAAACACCCCATTCACTGTTCCCTGAGCCCCAAGGGCAGGTCCAGTCCATAGAGGAGCCAGGAGGGTTTTCACTCAGCAGACAATAGGCTTGGCATTTTTCCTCAGAGCAGATTGTAAGTTCAGGCGCTAGGTGGGGTGAGACCAGAGGCCCGTGAGCTGGAGTGACCACAGACTGTGCCCTGAGGTGTGGGACAGTGCAGGGACAGTGCACAGAGGGCCGGCTGGGACTGCGACGTGTGGTGCTCACCTCCGTGAACACCGTGGGCTCATCCGCCCCTCCGATGAGGAGACCGAGGGTGGGGACAGAGGTTCGGGGTCACCCAGCAAGTCATCCAGGGCAGGATCAGGGCCATGTTCCTGGCCATTGCTCTTCTCAGCACCCTGTGCAAAGGCCGACGAGCAGCAGACAGGCCGGGTGGGGGTCTGGGTACAGCAGGGGTCCCCCGCACCTCTCACCACCCCGCCCCCCGGCCCCCAGGGTGAAGGACCCCATGGCTGCCGGTGAGGACTGTGGCCACATCCGCTTCTTCTCCTTCTCCCTCATCGAGGGCTACATCTCCCTGGTGATGGACGTACAGACCCAGCAGAGGTGAGTTGGGCCTGGGGTGGGCTGGGCTCCATGGGCACACACGCACCCTGTCCACAGTCAGGGCTTGCCTTGTGGCCGAGCTGGCCCCATCTTTCAGATGACAGTCACTCAGAGAGATGAAGGCCCCGGGTTGTCAGGGCTGTCCCCTCTCTGCAGCTGGTGGTGGGGACAGCGTCCTTTACCAATCAGCAGAGGGGGGTGGTTGTTCCCAAGCCCATTCCCAGCCTTGCTTTCTGTTCCCCCCCCAGATGAGGAGGGCTCAGGAGGGGACCTGGAGCCCCCTGGAGCCCCCTGAGCTCCCCGCTCTGGCCCAGCACCAGAGCCCTGAGGACAGCCACAGTTCCTACCACGGGATCACAACCCATGTCAGCCTCTGGGGTATTTCTCTCTATCCTTATTCAGGTTCCCTAGTAATTTGTTGTTCACAAGTGCATCTGGAGAGCTCTGGAAGATGGTGCGGATCGGAGGACAGCCCCTGGGATTCGGTGAGCTCTGGGGGGGGCCTAGCATCGCCGTCTGGGCTCACTCACCCCATGGTACAGATGGGGAGGTGGAGGCTTCAGGAGCCCTGGGCCCTGGACCAGTGAGTGACAGGAGGCTTGGGCCTCCAGAGGATGGGAGGAGCGCCAACAACCAAAAGGCTCTTACTTCTGTCCCCCTAGAAATTGCATACCTGTTTATTAGTACAGCATCAGGGGTGTGATAAAAATTGAAAAGGAAGGGGTGCTTGGGTGGCTCAGTCAGTAAGTGCTGACTCTCGATCTCCGCTCAGGTCGTGAAGTTAGGTTTTTTTTTTTTTGTTTTTTTTGTTTTAAAGATTTTGTTTATTTATTCATGAGAATACACAGAGAGGAGAGAGAGAGAGAGGCAGAGACACAGGCAGAGGGAGAAGCAGGCTCCACGCAGGGAGCCCAACGTGGGACTCGATCCAGGGTCTCCAGGATCACACCCTGGGCTGCAGGCGGCGCTAAACCGCTGAGCCACCGGGGCTGCCCGACGTTAGGGTTCTGAGTTTGGGCCCTGCTTTTGGGCTCCGTGCTGGACATGGGGTCTAATTTAGAAAAAAAAAGTCACTCCTTTGTCCCAGCTGCTCACAGGCAATGGCTGTTGTTCTAAAGAGTGTCCCTCACAGAAATAAATGCAGTTGCAGTCAGACTTAGACCGCCAGCACTCACCCCTGCGTACCTCACCTCTTCTGTCCTGGGAAGGGGCAGCTTCTCCTCCATGGGCTCGATGACCTGATCTCCCAGGAGGACATCTGCAGAATCCCCCAGGAGGACATCCGCAGAGATTCCCTAAGATTTTCTAGCCTCGGTGTCCATAGCTGCCCAAACAGCGTCTCTGGCAGTGAGGTTTGCCCACGAGTATGTTCCACGGGCCCACGGGGTTCAGAGCCCTCGGTAGTTAGCAGGGCCGAGTGGCACCGATTCGCCCAGAGCTGATGGAGGCTGCTGGTCCCACTGTCAGTGATGCAGCATCAGAAATGATTGGCTTGAGTTAAACCTGTTAGACCCCCGAGCTGGAACCCGGGAGAGGCTCCTGGTCGTCTCCAGGAAGCATCTTCCACAAGCCCTGGTGGGATCGGTGAACCCTGATCTCCCACAGACAGAGTGAAGAATGTTCCAGGTAAAGCTCAGACTGCTCCAGGGACCATGATGTCGGCCCCAGATGCTCCACGCCTGGGACGAGAGATGGAGGTGGCCGGGCATTTTGACCTGAGGCCAAAGGGTCAGTGAGGGAGCCAGCCACAGCCCCCTGCCTATGGATGAGCTTGCAGGGGACAGTAACTAGCAGGACGAGACGAGTGCCCCCAACTCTGCCCACATCACAGCCAAAGCCAGAGCTATCCTGAAGGGCAGGACAGTGGGCTGCTCTGTGGATGCTGAGAAATGTGCGCTGAAGGCTCCTGGTAGGATCCTGGGGCCCACCTGCCTCTCGGGGCCTCCTTTGCCACAGACCCCAGCATGTCTCCCGCTGACACTTGCTGCCTGGTGCAGGGTCGTGGGGACTGAGCGCCAGAAGAACTCCTCACGAAGGAGGCTGTTAGGAACAAGCGTGACCGCAGGCAGGTGCACCTCGGTTCCCTGACTGCCATCCTAATGAGGAGGATGGTAGCTGCCTCCTCCGGGTGGTAAGCACTCGTGTCATATACCAGGTGGCTCCGAGGGTCAGGAAGGGTGAGGCTTCCCAGAGAAGGTGACAGGTGGGGAGGGGAGGGCAGTACTAGCAGCAAGAGTATGATGTGGCACCCATGTGGCTCCATGTGGCTCCAGGTGGCTGTGCCCAGGGTGCAGGGTCCAAAGGGTAGAAAGCACAGGACCTAGCCAGGTCACCACAAGCAGCGGGGCAGAGTCCTGATGCCAGACCGAGGGGTCTTCCTGAAGGTGGAGAACCTGGCACAGCTTTGGCCGCCAAGGCAAGCAGCCGAAGCCATCCAGAGACTCGGGCGACAAGCAGGAGGACCTGCCCAGCGGCTTGTCTTTACCCCCAGCTTTGGTTCCGAATTGATCAGAATACACTCTGTAATGCAAAAACAAAATGTCCCAATGATGGAGAAATAGAGGGGCTGGCAAATGGAATTCAGAACGTCGCTCGGTGGGCGGAGGTGTGCACGTTGCCGTCGGGCTGTTCTGCTCGGGGCGGCCCCGTGGGCGGGCAGCCAGGGGAGGGCGCGGACCACAGCCTGCAGCTGCCTCCCCAGGACGTCGCGGGGTTTAAAGCCACCCTTATAGCTGTGAATAGCCCTGCAAGAAAAATAACTTGCCGAGAACCTGAACGATTCTAGACCCGCAGGTTCTGTATGCTTCTGAGTGTGGCTTGGAGTAAACGTATCTTCCATCCTAACCCGGCGTGCACACGCACACTGCTCAGGCTACGCCTCCAGCAAGACCGTCCTGGCTCGAGCTTTGCACTGTGCCATTTGGGCTTCCCTTAGCTGTCGTACAATTTTATAAAGTGCTGGTCACCAGCCTTCCAAACTGATGGGACACGTGGGCCCCAGCCCAAGTTAGAGAGAGATCATTCTAGACTCTCATCTCCTATCCCCGTTTTTATCAGAAGAGCTGTGTCCATAGCGAAAGGATTTTAGAAGACGGCCAGTCTCCACCACAGGGTGCCACAGTCACCAGGTGTGCAGACACCAGGCCTGCCCAGCCACCAAAAGGGCCTGCGGGGTCACCACCCACGTCCAGGTGCGGCTGACAATAGCAGGACCGGGGCGACAGAGTGAAGGAGCAGAGGAGATGCTGGATGGCAGTGACACTGGGGCATTGCAGGGGTGGACCCGGGTGGATTCCCAGCGTGGTGGCTTGGTGAGCCGATCTGGACTCTCCCACCCAGTCAGGGACAGTGTTGGAAAAGTCATCATCGGAAGATTTTGATTTCCGTCAAAATCAGAAGAGTGGCTTTGGGGGAAACAACCTGAAAACTTTGAAGGGGTTGTATTGGTGGCACAGGGTGGTCCTCAGATCCTGGAGGTCTTCCTGGAGGAGGAAGCCTTGAGTAGTGCCTTCAAATCAGGCAGAGAGCTAGGGGTGAGGAGAGGCTGCACCTCTGCTTTGAGGGTCTAGAGGGAAAAAGAAGCCCCATCCGGGCCCCCAGAAATGCCTGGCACTACTTTTAGGACAAGTCGAGGTCATTAGCCGGCGGGGACTCAGATGAGGGAACCGATGCTCACAGAGAGGAAGTGACTTGACCACAGTCTTCTGGCTAGAAGAGAGTCTAAGGGCAACAGGAATAGGGCCTGAGCCCCCATCCTCCAGCTCTGTCTCAGAGAACACGCGAGATGGCAGGGAAGGAGGCTTGGGAGCCCCCGAGGGCCCGCAAAGCCGGACAGAGCTGGGCCCTGCCGAGGGGAGCATGACGCCAGCCCCGGGGGTCAGAGGAGGCTCCCGGGTGGAGGGGGCCTTGGCGCCAAGCCTTCAGGGCGAGGGGCAGGTGCGCTGGGAAACTGCGGGTGTGTGGCAGGCTCTGTGTGCGGAGGGAGGGGGGCTGGCCGGGGTGCTGAGCGTGGTCCCCCGCTCTGTTCCCAGATGAGTGTGGCATCGTGGCCCAGATCTCCGAGCCCCTGGCCGCCGCGGACATCCCCGCCTACTACATCAGTACTTTCAAGTTCGACCACGCGCTGGTGAGTGTCCCGCACCGGCCCCGGGGGCGAGGGGTGCGGGCCGGGGCTCACGGGTCTTGCCTCCTGCCGCCCCCCACAGGTACCGGAGGAGAACATTAGCGCCGTCATCAGCGCCCTGAAAGTCAGCCAAGCAGAGAAGCATTAGGAGGGCCTCTCCCGCTCCTCCCTTCCTGCCCCCCAGACCCGGGCCCGGCCCCCACCCTGAAGATTCTTCTCGCAGTATTTCTCACAGACTGGAAAATCGGCCCCAGGGTCCCCAAGAAGGGGCCTCCGGGAGACATCCCCAGTTGCTCCCCCTGCCAGGCCTGGGGCCCGAGCTGAGGCCTCCCCGTGCCCTCCTGCCTTCCTGGAGGCCCCAGGCCCTCCAGAAGACCCCAACCTCCTCCTCGCCCCACCCCTACTCCAGGAAACGATGTCTGAGGCCCCGGGAGCTGGCGAGCCCGCCCGCCTTCCCATCTGGCCTTGCCCACACCTGGGGGCAGATGCTGAAGGAAGCAGGTGCCTCCTGCCAGACCGTGGTGTTCTGACTCTCGTGTCATCTCGGGGAACTGGCCGAGCGGGGCTGAGTTCGCGGAGCCCGGGGCGGCCCCCGTGAGGACCTGGGGCTGGACGTGTGGTCGCTGGTCTCTGGTTCCATCAGCTCCAGGCTGGTTCCCGCCGAGTGGAGGCCAGTGGGCGGCCCGAGGGCCACGTGCTGGGGAGGCTTTGCCGAGCACGGCGGGAGGGGAGGCCTGAGCTGGGGAGGACCCGCGCCACCCAGAATTTCGCCTGCCATCCACAGGGCCTGCACCCCGACTCCCAGCAAGACTGCCAAGGGGGCCCTGTCCAGACGCCCCCCACCGTAAGCACTCACTCCTGGGGGTGGTTCCCAGGAAACCCACCAGCCTGGGGCACAAGCTCCCGACCCCTCTTGCTGTCCCGGGACCCTCCTTGGGCAAGCGGAGCCTTGGTTTCCCCCGGGTGGGGGCATCCTCAGCATTCTGGACCTGGGGTTCCTTGGGTCACCCCCACCCCCAGCAGTTGACTAGACCAGCACAGGGCTCCCCTGTTATCCTGCCGCCCCCCCGCTCCCCTGCCCCACTTGTGGGGGATATGGAAGGCCTCTGCCCCCGACTCACCTGCCTGCCTGCCCCTCAGCTGGGGCCTGTGGCACTCATGAGTACTTGACCTGGGGGGCAGCTTATCTGAGCCTTAATAGAGAAAACTGTACCGTACGTTTTAGTTTCTTATTTAATATATTTGCGCCCAGGCTGTGGTCAGCGGCAGTTTCAGGGGACGGGGCTTCCTGAGTTCTCTCGGGGGGCCCAGAGGCTCAGCATCATTCGGCTGGCGCCCTGTGGCTGCAGGGACCAGCAGGAGAATCGGGTGGTGTCGCAGATTCTTGGAGCAGGAAGCTGGCAGCAGAGGTCTGTCACGAGACAGGGGTCCCCCCAGGGCACCCCACCCAGAGCCATACAAGCCCCACGGACAGGTGCCCAGGCTGCCGTGGTTCTCTCTGAACATCAGAGGGGACCCGCAGGCCACAGGGCGGTGGGCAGCCAGGCGGCAGGCAGGCTGCGGCAGTCTCGTACCCCTGGAGGCCGAGCAGGGAGCGTGGGGTGAAGCCCGCATGCCCTCTGCAGCTGGGGCTGGACCGGGGGTTCCCCAGCGGCTCCTGCCTCCCCTGGTGCTCTTTCTCAGGCTGACTTGCGCTGTTCCTGAGAAGCTCAGAGGAGAAAGGCTGTTCTCCTAGTAGGTGAGGGGCTTGTGTGAGCCCCATGCCCCCCTTCTCCCAGCGTTGTGGGACCAACCCTCCAAGCCCCGGAAGCCCACCAGACGGAAGAGCCGCGGGTCTGGATCCTCACAGACGCTCAGGACCCAAGCACTGATTAGGAACCCACTTTTTTTTTTTTTTTAAGTTAACTAATTTTGCACAAAACTCCCAAGCAACCAAAATGCGTCCACTGTTTGCTGGCCGAGCGGGCAGGGAAGCGCCGAAGCCCTGAGTCCCCTTCGTCTCCTCGGAAGGCCTGGGTTTTCCGTGGCGTGCCCCTCCAGACTCCTCCCTGTCGGGTCCCCGGTGGTGTCACCTGTCCGCCCTCCCTCCCTGCCGACCCAGCCTGTCGGCCCCATGACCCCAGAGACGTGTGCTACCCAGACCCCCCCAAACGTATCTATTGTACACACTTATAAATACCTGTGTTTTATGTTGATATAGATATATACTGTAAATAGCATATATACTTGAGCAATATATATGTTAATATATACTGTGTGAGCACGCACACGCGTGTGTGCACAGTCCATGGACGCAGACCCCACTGTGTGTGCACGTGTGTGGGCGTGAGGGCCTCCGCCCGCTGGGCCTGCTGTGCACGCAGGCACCATTTGAGCCACCATATATTTTTAATTCAAGTATATAGGCAATACGTTATTAGAGAAGCCCTGACTTGAGAGAAAAAAACCAGCATCCCAAGAGCAGAGCCCCAAGGCCCCCCCAAGCCTCCCCTGGAAGTGGATCCAGCCTCATTTCTGTGGCCAAGGCTCCCGGACACCCTCGTTTGCCCTGGCGGACGGGGGTACAGAGGGAGGGGCGTTGGAATCCCGCCTTGCTCTGGAGCAGAAAGGCCCTCTTCCCGTCGCCCTGAGCCTGAGGACCTGGGCAGGTGGTCCCCGTCCAGCTCTCCACCCGGAGCCCCCAGAGCCCCACGTGGCTGTTCCTGCATCTTTCTCACCCGCAAGCGTAGAGACCTCAGGTTCTTTTCCCAGGCCTCCTCTTGGAGATCGGCCCCATCCAACCAGGAGGAGAAGGCCCGAAGCCCGTGCCCTCACGTCCAGGAGTGGCTGCGGCTAGGGCTGGGCCTGGGCGGGAGCTGCCACCTGGGTCTTCTGGTCCCCAGCCTCCCCTCCCGCTGCACGTCTGTGACGAATGTAGTCATAGGTTTGGTTCTAGGCAAGATGCTCCCCCCCCCCGCCACGTTGCTGGGTGCGGGGGGGTCTCCAGACCCCCCCCAGAGCGGCCTGAGGAACGCAGCATCGTGGCCGGGTTGTCTTGGCTCTGGCTGGGGAGGCATGTGGCCGGGGCAGAGAAATGGGGTTCCTGAGGGAGGCGGCTGAGGGGTGGGGGTGAGCGGCGGCCCTGGGCCTGCTGCCTGGGCCCTGCGGGTGCATCTTTGCCTCCGTACCGTGTGGGAAGAGCTCACACCCGCTCCTGCGCACTACAGAGGGGATGGCGAGGGGGGCGCATGACCACCCCCTCCAACCTCACGCCTGGTTGTTAAGATCTGTGTCCGTGGCTGAGGCCTCCGCATGGGCTCCTCTGGTTCCCGAGAAGCACCTTCCTGTCTCCCTTGGCACCCCGTCCCGACCCGCAGGGATGGGCAGTGCCCGCTCTGTACCTCCGTCCTCCACGGGGGTCTCCGGGCACATGGTTTCCATCCCAGCTGGAGAGCTGTGCGGACCCCCCAGCCCAGGATTCAGGGGGTCCGGAGTCTCCCAAGCACCAGCATTCTCCCCTTGCCAAGGCCTTGGTGACCAGCATGGTGTCCGGAAGAAAACACGTGGTCCAGGGAGGCTTGTGCCCCGTGAGGTGACAGGATGACACGGAGGTCAGGAGAGGAGGCTCTGGTTGGACGGCAGGGTGCGGCCCCCGGTCCCGAGCCAAGGACACCACTGGCCTGAGAGTCCAAGATGCACCTGCCCGCCCACCGCGAGCGGCCCCTCCTGGCCGCATTTCTCAGGCTGACTGAGGAGGCCCCGGGCCACCTCGCTGGGCCTCTGGATCTGGATGTGAGGACGCCCTGGGCCCTGCCCAGCCAGGGCTAAGAGGGACCCTGTGGGTCTCCAAGGTGACGGCACAGCGCTCCCATGCTCTGACCCAGGGGTCCCTGGTGTCCTGAGTGAACTCTGAGGGGGTGGTCAAGAGAAGCCCCCCAGTGGATCTGTGTCCCCCTGTGAGCCGGGGCCACTGGGAAACGAAGCAGGCATTTGGCTTGGGGAGCAGAGCTCGGGGCGGGGGAGGATGATGTGTCCGTCCGTTTCCCCCACAGACGCGAGCGTCGGCTTTTCAGGCTTCCCCAGTGCTGTGGAGGGGCAGGCGCCCTGGCTTCCGAGAGGCGGCCGGGTGGCTGCGGTGCGTCCGGCCAGCGTCCGGCCAGCGAGGCCCCGGGGCGCTGCGCCCTCTGGCTACGTACCTAGTCCGAGTCCCCGAGCTCATCCCAGCTTCTTTCTTCTGTTTTCGAATTAGAGGCAATCAAAGGGCAAGTGTCCTTGTCCCTCCTCCCGTTTCCTTGGACGCTGGGAGGAGGCCACGGGGTGGGCTGTGTGGCCTTCAGCCTTGGCGTCCATGCCGTCCTGTGAGGCCTGCCCTGGGGAGAAGGGAGGGCCGGGCGGGGGCCGTGCCGAGGCAGCCTGCTGTCCTTGGGCCGATGGCTCCCGGGGGTCGGGGCTGGGGGAGGCTGGGAGTCAGGACGGGGTCGTGCTTGGCTATGAGCCTGTGTACACATACACGTGTAAGTTCAGTATTTTGAGGCCTCGGGAGCATTGTCACCTGTGGGCCACGTGCAGTAGGGTTGACTGGGTGGCAGGCCTCGCACGCAGGACCCCCCCACCTCTCCAGAGTGTTAAAGCTGCTCTGAAGGGACAGTGGTGTCCCTGGCGGAGTCTCTGCTGTACCACACAGAGGCCTGGCAGCCCCAGGGGGTGAGCCCAGCCGAGCCAACTCTTCAGAAGCATCCAGTCCTGAAGACAGTATTCACGGGAGAGGTTTCGGGGGCTGGCGCCCTCCCAGCAACTCGTGCTCATCTGCAAAGAGCATGGTGGATGAAAAACGGGGCCCAGTTTGGGTTCCAAGATAAGAGGTCAAGCCCAGTGCGTTTTCCTGTCCTCTGCCTCAGTTTACCTATTCAGAAAATGGCCCAGGAGGAACTGAGCAGGGTTAGCTCCAAAACTGGGGGGGGGGGGGGGGCGGCAAGGGGCTGATGACAAGCAGAATCCCAAGTCCTCCTCTTGCTCTATGCCAAAATTATTTCCGTTATCCTGAGATGGGGGTGAGTGGATGTCGGGTGCGTTATGGGGCTCTGAGGGGCCTCTGCCCTGCCCAGGGCCTCGCCTGGGGTCCGGCCCTCACCTGGCCTGCCCCAGGTCACCAGCAGTAGCAGCAGTGGCACTTATATCTGTCCCAAGTTATGGGCAAGGGGGAGCACGGGGGCCCCCCCGACGCCCCAAGGCCCTCACGCTTCTACCCTCTGTTGAAGACACACAAAACCCTCGAGATTCATGTACTGTATGACGGAGAGAAAAAAAGTACCTAATGTTCCCCAAAAAAGACAGTATATTTTGTACTTTGTAAAGTGTTAATTAAAATGGAGACAAAAATGGATGTTGGCTGACTGCTCTCTGATTTGGGGCTGATCCGGAATCACGTGTGCAGTCTCTCCCTTCTAGCCGTGCTCAGGGAGCACTGGCCGGTGTGGGGTGGGGTGGGGCGGTGCTGGGAGGAGGGAGAGCAAACCCAACAGCCAGAGTCCGAGCGGAGAAACTCCCTCCAGAGCTGCCGAGGGGCTGTAGTAGTTACTGGGGCTGCGTAACAAGCTGCCCCCAAACTCCACAGCTTTCAGAGTGACTGTGTGTGTGTGTCACGGTTTACGTGGGAGAGGAATTCAGGAGCAATTTGAGCAGCTCTGGCTCGGAGCCCCTGGTGAGGCTGTAATCATCTGAAGTCTTGGCCGAGCCTGGAGGATCTACTTTCAAAAGCGATTTATTCACACAGCTGGCAGGTCGGGCCTGGCTCTTGGCAGGAGGCCTGTTCTGCTCCGCGTGGGTCGCCGTGGGGTTGAGTTCCCTCGCCGTGCGGTGCCTGGCTTCCCCAGGGCAAGGGATTTGAGGGCCAAGGTAGGAGCCAAAATGGTTTTGCGTTCCCACGCCTCAGGATTCGCACACCACCACCCGCCACCCTCCTCTGGCCAGACAGCCTAGCTCTGGTGTGACACAGGAGAGCACTCAAGGTCAAGGTCTTGGGGGCCGTGTCCTGGAGCCTGGCTGCTGGCGCCCACGCTTCCTCCCCAGGCCTCTGGCACAGGCAGGCCTGGGGGTCGGCGGCGGGGGAAGGGGGGCACGGAGCAGGACAGAGCCTCCTCCCCGAGCCCAGAGCCCTGCTGTGGAGCCCACCCCCCAGGAAGGGCTGCCTGGTGCTGGAAGCCTGGGAGCCGATGCCTTCAGGGGGACACCGTGGACGCAGGAAGACCGGCACCTGCCCAGTGTCCCTCCCACAAGCCTCGCATCTGGCTCCTTGCCCTCTCGGCAGGTGGGCACTGGGGCTGCCCTGGCGAGGAGTCCCGAAGCTCTCTGGTATTTTCCACAGAAGGCAGGTGTGAGCAGGGCAGGGCTGAGGTGTGCCTGCACCTGGCCTCACCGACCCCTACCCTCACCCCACTTCACCCCTGCCCCTGGGGACAGAAGGGTCTGAGCAGAGGGCTGAAGCACCCTCTGACTGCCCTGAGCCCCAGAAAGGTCTGCTGCTATGAAGGCTTTTCCCTGTGGGGTCTGCAGACTGAGCACCGTCAGGCCTCCAGATGTCCTGGAGCCAGGACATCCCTGAGGACTGAACTGCCCAGTGCCAGGAGGATCCAGGATGAGGGGACAGGAGCTGAGAAGAGACACCAAGGCAGCAGACAAGGGTGGGGAGGGTCTGGAGTGTGGCGACGCACTCCGGCCAAGCAGGGAGACCAAGCCCGATGGGAAGACACTGGTTTTTAAGACCAACCCAAGGGTGTCCCTTCTGGTACCCTGGTTGCTATGGCCAAGATGGAGATGGTTAATGGATCCGAATCTTGGGTGGGAGGCTGAAACCTCTCCTACTTTCAACAGAGACCCTCCCCAGCACCATCACTTCCTGCCCCTGAACACCGCTGGGTGGGGAATCCAGGCATGACCTTGATCTTCTGGGGCACTCGCCCTCCATAAATCAGTAGGTGCTTTAAGATGCCGATTGCACTGAGGACAGATTTCTGTTCTTCACCACTGGGGACACATGGTACACGACCCAGGGAGTTTCAGGAAGGAAAATGACAAATCATTTCCAATCTGTCAAATTTATGGAAAATTTTTGCTGTCAAGCTAAAGAACGGGCTCTGCACAGAGAAGTGGAAGTAGTGTGAGCCCAGAAGAAGGGTCCTGGGGCCTCTCCCCCCAAATGCAACCTGGCTGGTTCCTGTGGCTTCAGGTCACAGCAAGGACTTATGTTCAGTGACTGGTCCGCTTTTATTTTTATCTTTTTTTACGATTTTATTTATTCAGAGAGAACATGGGTTGGGGGGAGAGCAGAGGGAGAGAGAATCCCACGCAGACTTCATTCATGCTCACCGAGGGGCTTGATCCCACGACCCCAAGATCAGGACCTGAGCCAAAAGCAAGATTCAAGACGCTTTGCCGACTGAGCCACCCAGGTGCCCCCTATAGATTTTAAGTAATCCCTGCACCCAATGTGGGATTGAAACTGCAACCCCAAAATCAAGAGTGGCAACGTCCCAACCGTTGCACTCTAAACGGCAAAGCCCCCACACCGCCAACCCCCTCCTCTTCCCCTGCTTTGTCTCCACAGCCCACGTAACCATGTACGATACTCTCCACTTTGCTTGTGGGTTGTGTTCGAGTAGCTGGCCCGCAGGGGGCAGAGAGTGTTTGTTGAGCGAATGAATAAAAGGATGGGGTGCAGCCAGGGAGGGAGATCTCGGGTGGGTGACCGGATTACCAGTTACTCTTAGACTTCTATCATTTTCTCCCAACTGAACCGCGGGAGGAGACTCTGTTCAGAAGAATCGTTGTCAAGCAGGATTGTCTTCTGAAGTATTTGTCACTGGCTTCTAGTTGCCTCTTTATCAAAAGCCTTGTTTTTGCAAGCAAATCTCTAAATGATCAAGATAAAAAAAAAGTACTCTCGAGTGCTTAAAAATAAAAAGGCAGAAAATAGACTTTATTCCAAAAGAGATTTTTAAAAGATGTTTTTAAATGAAAGGCCAAGTTTATGTTACTACCTCACATGTTTTCCACAATGTTTGAATCCCTCCTCCAAGGGTGGCCCTCCAGCCAAGCTTCCGCGGGGGGTGCTCAGTCACGAGAGGCTGGCCTCGCTCTAACTCCTGCGGGGGCCTGAAGCCTGGCTCCCGCAGCCGCGCCGGGGCTCTCCCCACTGCCCACGCAGCCCACGCAGCCGCCCGCACTCCTACCCTGAGCTCTGCCGTGCTGGAGGCCTACAGAAGCCCTCCCGGCCACTCGATTCTGAGGCCACCTTTAAGATCAAACAAAATGGCCAGGCTGCCCTCAGAGGAGCTCCTCAAGTCCGATGGGCCTTGGGGAGCCGTCGCACGGTCCTGGAAGGGCTGAGACGTGCGGAGGTTCCTCGCTCTGCTGGGGCCACACAGCCCAGGACTCCTGTCACTGGTGCCAGGCCTGACAAGGACAGCCATCCTGCGATGAAAACGGCGGGTCTCACCCTCGGCTAGAGGGGCCTGAGTCCCCAGACCTGCAGCCTCTTCCTGCTCAGGGCATGGCAGAGAGCATCTCGCTTCACCAAGGGCGCGGAGCCCCCGCAGGGGCCTCTGCTGAGCAGCCCCGGTGGTTCTGAGGCCGGGTTCCGGGCTCCCGCGGGCTGGGCGAGGCTTCAGACAAATGACTTGGCCAGAGTCACCATGTGGTCCACACCACACGCCACATCCACAGGCTCCCCAGGCATCGTCACCTGCAAAACGAGACCCAGCACACGGTGAGGGCACACGGTGAGGGCACACGGTGAGGGCGCACGGCTTGGAGGAGGCCCAGCCCAGGCCTGACCCTGCTCCGCCTCCTGGGAGGTCAAGTCACCTCGGTCCCCCCACGGAAACGGGGGTGCTTCCATGTGGCTGGCAGATCTCTTTGGGTGGACCGGGCACTCCAGCGTCCCACCCAGCCAATGGCAGACATTACTGCTAGAACTTGCACGTCCCACAGACGCTACTCCCTGCTGAGCACAACCCTGCCAGAGGTCAACACCTGCTCCCAAGCCAGGGGCAGTGGCCGTTCCTAGGGGTCACCACCATGGCTCCCTGGAACGGCTCACGAACCCCTGCTCCCTGCAGCCAGGGCCTGTGGGAATGAGGCCCCGGCCAGCATCGTCAGCCACGGCAGCCATCGGCCTCAGCTCTGGGTCGGCTGCTTCCCAGACACTGTGCTCCCTTGAGGAGGGAGCCCCACTGTCGCTGAGGGGGCCACAGGCCATGCTGGCAGTCCTACCAAGGCTGCCCACCCACGCTGCCAGCATTTCACCACAGGAGAGGCCAACCCGCGAGGTGACAGGCAGCCCTCAGCCGACGTGGAAGCTCCGGCCCGCCGGCCCTGTAAAGGACTTTCGCTGGTGTACAGGCTGCCCCTGGAAACGGCCACTCCATCCCGCTCCGGCTGTGCCAACACTCAAGGATGTCCACGTCCCCAGAGCCAAACCAGTTCTCAGAAGGGGGCACTTTCCTTCTTCTTGTAATACTATCATTATCATTACTTTCAGTAGGCAAGACACTCTCATGGCTACATTATAAAATGACATTCAGCACAAAAGAATTAAAAGGCATTAAATCCCTTTTCTTTTTCCTGATTTTATTATTAAGTAAGATCTCAGCCAATATGGGGCTCGAACTCACAACCCGAGATCAAGAATCTCATGCTCCGCCGACTGAGCCGGCCGGGCTCCCCTATATTAACCTTTAATCCCAGCCTGTCAGCACCTGCCCCCTTATTCCCTCCTTCCCTCTGAACTGGAAACCACTTTTAGCCAGTTTCCACTATCCTTCCAGAGGTGCCCAATGCAAAAGCAGCAAACGTAAGAAGAGTGTTTTTAGGTGGCAACTTGCGAGTCAGGGCTGTTGCGCTGCGTGGTCGGCAGACCCCTGCCCGTCTGCCCGGTGCTGCTGTTCCGCCCCAGCAGGTCTGGGTTCTGCCTCCCTCCCCCGCTCCCCTGGGGGCAGTGCTCTGCTGGGCAGCAGGACAGCTGGAAGGGGGATCTGTGGCAGCCGGTGGAGTTTGCCGAGCTAAGGGGGGGAGGCCTCATCCAGATGGCCTGGCCTGAAAGCCCCGGACGGCAGCACTGACCCGAGCCTGGGGCCTTCGGTGCGGGGAGACGAGTCCATTAAGGGCTCCTGGATGGCAGGCAAATGGATGCTAGTGACCAAGCCATGCGGCCTGCCCCTCCCTCCCTAAACAAATGTCTTTAGCGACACCGATGCAGAGATCACTGAACAAACAAGCAGCAGTGCCCCCGCTCATCGCAAAGCTGCAGAAAGCGTTCCAGGCTGACCACAGGAGCAGAAGAGAACACGCTGCCTCCGTGCTGACTGGGCCCAGGTGAGCTCCTAGCAACCTCGCGGGGCCACCAGAGCGCGTTACACTGACCCTCCCCAGGCAGCGCGCCCCGCTCCCCACTCATCCGTACCCACACTGCTGCACTTGAGCTACCTCGTCCTTGTCCCCGGGGGCTCCGCCCATTAGAGCCCCAAGCAGAGTAACCACCTGGCCCTGCTGTGCTCTGCTGTGCTCACAGGGAGGATGGTGGCTGGGGCTGGCCTCTGAGCCCCCTGGGAGTGCTCCCCCTGGCAGGCAGGGTCTTCGGCCTCTCACCGTCTCTGGAGTCCAAGACAATGCGCTGGATGTGCCCTCGTGGAGGTTAAACGGAGCATTTCTTCTAAACCAATTTACACTATGTTACTGTAAAGAGAAACCATTCCAAAAACTGAACTGTGTCTGGCCTGAAGGACTTTTACAAACTCTGACCAGTGTGAGCAGAATCTGTTCAGGGATGTCCCTCCTCATGACAACGCCCATGGCACAAAGGCAGGGGACCCAGAAGGGACGCAGAATCGGTGCCCCTGGCCGCTCCTCGATATGGCCGTATCTGTAACTTCCTTTGTGGCACCAAGAGACCCATTCCCCCCGATACTTCACCTGGGACCCAGGGCTGTGTGGGAAGAGGCCCGGCAGCCAGAGGGTCTGCAGCCTGGGCACTGCATAGTCTGCACTTGGAGCCGAGAGTTCGGGTCTCAGCCCCGCCCACTGCATGGCCCTGAAACGGTGCAGCCCTTTCCATTTGCGGAGCCACAGGCTGGGGAGCAGGGGCCTCCGGAGGCTGTCCTGAGGACGAGAGCAAGGCACCTGGCACAGCCGATGGCTCTGCTGACTCCTCAGATGGGCGGAGGTGTCTAAAAAGAGCGCATTTCTGAGTGGGTGATGTTCCGGGAAGGCCATGCAAACACTTGCCCCATGCCCACACCGCAGTGCCACCAGGTAGGCCAGAGGGTCCTGTATAAACCTGGGCGGTATGTCCCCGCCTCTCCCCACTGCTGGGGACCTGGTTGTTCAGCTCCGGACCCTCGCAGAGGAGGGTACCACAGTGAGGTCTCAAAGTCAGACACATGTGACTGGCACTGGGTGAGTGGCCTTGAGGACTTGCTGACTGTCTCTGAGCTCTGAGTGTCAATGTGCAGCAGGAAAACCTCCAGGAAAGCTTCTGGAAGGACGGGTTTGAGTCCAGTGGCACATGTTCCCTGGGCCTACATACTGTCAGAGCAGCCTGGGCTCTGTGCATCTGAGAATGACAAGTTAGTGCTATTGTAGGAGCTACACATAAGGCTGGTTCCTGCCACCGCCATTCCCCAGAGCCCAGGCTGGAAGGTCCAGGCCCACAGAACGTGGGCAGGGCCAGGCCCCCAGCACCACCCCAGAAGGTGCTCTCCTTCACCAGTCCTCCCAACCCCAGAGGCATGTAGGGCTCAGCAAAAATGTTCCAGGGGGAGGACAGTGGTTTGGCAAGAAAGCAGCCATCAGGGGAACAGCCTGAGGTGTCCCCTCCCAGACAGCAGGGGTGCAGAGAGCAATGTTCCCCGAGGGCCGCTTGGTGAAGTCCATGGAGGAGGGCTCCCGTAAGCTGGCTCTGGCCCCAATGGCAAGTGGCCTTGGCCCCAGGTGCCTGCTACTTCCAGCCCCACAACGGATACCAACGCCCGGCCATTTCGATGGGACAGTACAATCATGACTGATCTTCACTCTAGTCTGGGGGAAAGGGAGGCTGGTGGGGAGCCCCCCACACCCCTCACAGTGGTCATTCATCCAAAACTTGGCCACTTGGCCGCTTGCCCAGCTTCCCCTTGGCGAGAAGTGAGGGGCTACCACAAAAGTGGGACCTCCACGTTGTCAACGCTCACAGTCCTTGCTCTGCCCCCCAGCATCCACCAAGCAGCTGTTCCTCACCCCTTAAGGGGGACCCCAGGCCCAGGATACAAGCGGACGAGCACCAACCAGCCTACACACAGCTCTGATACACATCTCTTCCAACAAATACAAAGCCTCCATTCTGACCTGTTTTCTTAAGCAGCAGCGCCTCCAGCTCCTCCAAAGGGGTCGGAGCCTGCTGAGGTCACAGGGAACCAAAAGAGTCAGCAGCCAAGGGAAACAGCCCCCAAAACACTGAAGTGCCTCCAAACATTTTACAGTGGGTTTTTCAGAGACAAATCCTTATTTTATTCCAAATAGACGCTGCTTTTGCATGTTCACCAGTGCTTTAAAAAATGCTTTACGTGATTTTGAAACATTAAAATACAACCTTCAAGGAAGATACTTAAATATGTGCATATACACATTTGTGAATACACACATGCACGCACCTCTCTATGCAGAGACAGTTTCTAGAAGGAAACAAGAAAGTACCAGTAGGGGCACCTGGGTGGCTCAGTGGTTGAGCGCCTGCCTTCGGCTCAGGGTGTGATCCCGGGGTCCTGGGATCAGGTCCCACATTGGGCTCCCTACAGGGAGCCTGCTTCTCCCTCTGCCTGTATCTCTGTTTCTCATTTTGTGTCTCTCACGAATAAACAAATAAAATTAAAAAAAAAAAAGTATTGGGACACCTGGGTGGCTCATGGGTTGCACCTCTGCCTTTGGCTCAGAGTGTGATCCTAAGTCTGGAGTCCCGAGATCGAGTCCTGCATCAGGCTCCCTGTGAGGAGCTTGCTTCTTCCTCTGTCTGTGTCTCTGCCTCTCAGTGTCTCTCATGAATAAATAAATAAAATTTTTATTTTTTTTTTTAATCAGTATCTGGGACAAGAGATGTGAGACTTATTTTTCGTAACACAGTTTGCACTATGTACACATGTGCCGTTTTCAGAAATGTGAGTAGTTCTTTTTTTTCTTTTAGGAGGACTTAGTAAACAACACTAAGATAAACTACAATTTAGGAAAGAACCTTTTCCCCCTTTAATTTTGAAATGAGCCTTTTTTGTATAATTGCATCCTCCCCCTCAGGAAAGCTTTTATTTTTTTTTTTACTTTGGTGGCTGTGGTATGGCACTCTAAATATTAAACATCCTGCTTGCTTTTAAATTCGCTGTAAAACATTCCTCCACAGGGGCCTCTGTAAACAGGTCCCGGCACACCAACTTTGTCATTTCAGATCTCTCTGTCCTGGGGCCTCATGGCCCCCAGCCTGTACTCTGCTCCTCTGAGGTGCTGGCATGCCTCTGTTTTCCTGCTCCACGTGTCCATGGACAGCCTCTGATGAGGCTTCTTCCAGGGCACTGAGGGACTGGGACCCTCGGCCTGGCTGCTCTTTCCTCCAGCAGGCTGCTCACTCATCAGACCTTGGGACAGAGCTCAGGGCAATGAGCCGCATAGCCCGAGACACTGGTGCCAGGAACTGTCTCTGACTCCTCAGCATGACAGGACCTCACCTGAAGCTACGGGGAAGAAGAGGGGGCAGCCGAAACCTGAGAGAGGAACCTGTTCCCAGGGCCCTGGCACTGGCCCAGCTGCACACTGGGGGAGCCTCAAGCCATGGGTGTGCCCTCATGCCCACCCTGCGCAGGCTTACCCTCCATGGGAAATACTGGTCTTCTAGGCGACCAATGCCAAGGCACCCTCGGATGTTCTTGCCCCACACAAACAGCTCTCCTTTGCCTGCAAAGAAAAGAAAAAGGTAGTTTGGTTGAGGCTAGGCCAAGAGCAAGTCTCCAGGAGGGTCATGAGAACAGGCTTTCTAGAACCAGGGACAAACAGGGCACAACATTAAGTTTCAATTTCTAGGGACACCTGGGTGGCTCAGTGACTGAGCATCTGCCTTCAGCACAGGTGTGATTCCAGGGTCCTGTGATCAAGTCCCACATCAGGCTCCCCATAGGGAGCCTGCTTCTCCCTCTGCCTATGTCTCTGCTTCTTTCTGTGTCTCTCATGAATAAATACATTTTTAAAATCTTAAAAAAAAAAAAAAGTTTCAATTCCTACCAGGCATTAGTGGTTTCCTTTGAATGGAAAAGTATACCATTCCCATACCAAAACACAGCCAAGCCCAGATGCACGCTGCATCCGTCACACTGGGGACTGGCATATGTGTGGAGCTCTGGGGCCAGGCAGCTCCTGCACATAGCCTGCCCTGCGTACCCCTTATGCACACCCCCTCCTCAAATCCTGAGAGCTGAGCCCCCTTGAACCTGGGTCATGCCCTGACAGAGTGAGACACAGGACGATCCGTCATTCCTTGTCCAGGTTTCCGTATTTCGGGACCATTTGGTCAAGAGATACATGGTGACCAGCACCACTGTGTGCTAGGAGCTGGGACAGGGCAGTGACTGAACATGCACAGTTCCTGTCCTCACAGGGCTGCAGCTAGCCGAAGAGTAAGACCTAAACAAATGAGCAAACCTCACCGTAAAAATGAGTGTTTTCAAATTGTAAAAAGTGCCATGAAGGAGAAAGACAGCCCGGGTGCCGTAGACAACAGCATGACAGAACCTAGGGGGTCCCTGGGAACACCAACCTGCAGGATGGACCCCCCCAGCCCTGGCAGGGCACCTCCCACAGCCCAGACTTCACCACAGATTTCCATCCACACCAGCATGGGGCGCTCCTTGGCACAGAGGTCCCATTTCTAGCAGAAGGCTTTGGTCATGGAGAAGAGAAGAAAAGCCACAGAAAAGCCAGGAGTACAATAATATGGGCTGTTAATTAAACAAGGAATCCTCTTGTTACAAGCTGTTGAAGTCCTCTGATCTCACAGCCTCTTTGGTCCTCTACCCTCAAATTTTACGTGTTCAACAGAACAATTCAGTCTGGCTCCCCTCAATGTTAGCAGACCACAGGGTAAACCAACCAATGCCAACCCCCAGCTGGCCAGATGCAAATGCTAGCCGCACAGATGGGCCAGAAGCCCAAGCTCTGATGCTCCACCTACTAAGGGACAGTGACCGGCATGGGGAGGGTGGGCACTGGGTCTTAGGGAAAATCTAGACAGGGAATTCACTTCAACATGACCCACAACGGCCACACGACCTGACAGCAAACAGAAAACAGCCCACCCTCATTGAACACATTGCATGGATTTCCAAGCATATGACTGTGCACATAGTTTAAGCCTGGAGATGTCTTAGAAAACACATCTTTGGCAGCTCAGGTGGCCCAGCGGTTTGGCGCCACCTTCAGTCCAGGACATGATCTTGGAGACCAGGGATCAAGTCCTACATCAGGCTCCCTGCATGAAGCCTGCTTCTCCCTCTGCCTGTGACTCTGCCTTTCTCTCTCTTTCTCTCTCTCTCTCTCATGAGTAAATACATAAAATCTTTAAAAGAAAAAAAAAAAAAGAAAAGAAAAAGAAAATACATCTTTGTTACCTCTAGAATCCGGCCACACGGATTCTTCTTGGCTCAAGCAAAATGGTTTAAAAAAACTCCTGTGACTCTGGACGACCCAAACTCACCATCCCAGGCCAGATGTTTCCTTTCCATAAGACAAAAAGATTTTCTAATCGCAAGGAAACCGCGAATTTACTCGAGGATCACGTGAAATTAATTTAGTGCAGTCTGACTATCCAAGTCAGCTGGAGAGCCAAACTGAACCAATGACACTCACTTGGGGGGGGGGGGGTCTGTTTCTCCAAAGCCATGATGGAGAAAAGCACACCAGCTAGAGGTCCACCAAGTCACGGGACATTTTACGACTTTGTAATTTGGCAAACCTTTGCAAAAACCTCCATCTGGGCCCCACCTCAGATTCCTCTGGAGGACTCAGGCAGATTAGCCTCCATGAAACCACAGGACGGGCTTCCAGACCTGCCTCTAGCCACCACACACATCCACCTCCTGGTTACCCACCGTGGATTCGCCAGACCTCTGCAGGCTTCCGCCAGCCTGCCATGCTTAATGGTCCCCACTCCTACCACCAACTGGCGTCCTCTGGAGAAAACCTCCTTTAATGTTATCCTGACCACGAACCCAATGAACCAAAAACACACAACTCCGGGATGATGAGAAGGCACACATCATCCTACCTCAAGCCAAGCAACTTGTGGCTTAGCCCCACTCTTGAATTATCCACACAGAGAAGGGAGAGCACAGCATGGGACTGCCAGTTAAGCTCGGCTCAGCTCTGCCAGCCTCCGGAGCTGCACTGGTCACTTACTGGTCAGGGCAGCAAAGTGGCTGAGACCACACCAAATATGAGAAACGTGGACTCCCGGGTTGAACTCCGTCAGGCCGAAGAGAGTGGGTGGGATCACCTCTGGAAATGCAGTTTCCACAAGGTTTGGGCCTTTCCCAAGAATCCCGTAGCCCCAGACGAAAACATGTCCTTCTCCTGCATGACAGCAAACACGGCGGTCAATGGGTCAAACCCAGTGCAGCCCGCCCTCACTGGAAATCCTGACTGCACCACCAACATGCCTTATCTCCACGTAGATGGTTTTTTTGTTGTTGTTTTTTCCCCCTCTTGCTTGGCAAGAACATAGGGACGGAGATCTAAAATAATGTTTCTTCCCTCCTCTTTCCAATTCTTGCTTGTGATGGGTGTCTAGCCAGCTCCCAATCTCAGGACACAAACTTCCCACAGCTGGAGGGTAACCAGGATGGGTCCAGGTCATCATCCCCCAGAGGCCCGGGGAGTACAGGAGAGGCCAGAAGGGAGGTTTTTCCTACACGGATGTTCTTTCTTTCACACTGATCAGGAGAGCCAGTCAAGTACACAACCAGCCTCTGGCCAGATTCCTAAAAGTCTCGGAAACGATTATTTTGGTCACAGAAGGTTTTATGCTCCTCAGCGGTGCCAGACATTTAATCCCAGGGGCAAGGGCCTCAGTATCCAGACCCTACAGCTCTTCTCTCTATATTTTGTTTCCCGGCACAGCCTCCCTGGGGAAGGCAGGGCTGAGTCTCTGATCCAGGCTAAGGGAAACGGAGGAAGGAGCTGGTTCTCCACTCCAGAGGTCTGCTATTATTCAGACGTGAGAATGACCAAGTTCTGTTTATTCGTCGTCTACTTTGGAATCATGGCTAGTATCCTTCTGTCAAGGTCACCCTCATCGTCTATGCAGAGTCCAGTCTAACTAGGTCTTCCCACAGCCACCCTCCCCTTCCCTCCCTCAGGATGGGGTCCCCAGCCATGAGTCCAGGGGACACTGAGCCGGCCCCTGTCCGACCCACCTACAGCTTCCCACTCAGATGCCCGCATGAGGGTCTCACCATTTAACACAGCACAGCCTGTACCGCCACACGCAGCCTGCTTCACCTTCCCCACTCCTGAGAAGGGTAAGCACCGAGGGACATTCACCTGAATCAAAACCAGAGCCACAGTTAGAAGACAAGCCAGTGAGAAGTCGGAAATGCTCGGTCTTATGTACAAAGCAGATCAAGTCCCAGGTCATTGGTTCAATCTACAAGTACCTCCTGAACGCCCAAGATATGCTAAACATCTAACCAGGTACTGGGAATACAACAGGGAGGGGTAACCTGGTCCCTCTCTTAAGCGGGGTCTAGTGGAAGAGGTAAGGGGCCCGCCAAAATTCACACAAAAGTAATCTGGGCCGAGTGTAATGAAGGAGAGTCCAGGGTCTCTGAGAATGAATGTCGGGCAACCTGGTTCAGTTTGCAGGGAGGAGCGTCAGGGAAAGACCCGGAAGCCTTCATTTTATCCTGGGACCTGGATAAGCAGGGATAACCAGGCAAGGGGAGAGGGGCCAGTCCAAGGAGCGGAGCTGGCACATAAACAGGGAACGGGGCAGGCAGGACACCTTCAGGGGTCTGAACAAGGTCAGAGAGGATGAAGCAGAGGGATGAGGGGGGATACAGAGACCAGACATGCAGGACGTCGTAGGTCAGGGAAAGGAGTCGGTCTTTCCCCTGAGCACAGGTAGTAAGAGAGGAGGGGCATGATTTCCAGAGGTAATGTGATGGCTAGGACACAGTGGAGGACCGAGATGTGGAGGATACACAGGAGCTCACTGCACCCAGAGCCAGTCAAGTGGAAATGCCTGGGGATATAGACGTGCAGACCCTGAACAGTCTGGGTAGAGACCAGGAAGCCCGTACATGGCCTCTGCAGATGGAGGCCACATGGGTTGGGTGTAAGGACGGATGGGAAGGGGCCAGTGGAGCAGGGGATGTTGAGGCTATGGTGAAGAAGGCCCAGCAGATGGAGGAGGGCTTCTGAGGAGGGAGGAGATGTGCCCCAAGGCGCAGGGAGGAGAATCACATCTCTGGGGGGCAAGATGACATCCCCATGCTACAACAGGCAGTGGGCCTGGAGTGGAGGGTGGAGGACTCCGAGTGGGGAAACTGAGGGCACCTTCATCTGATAGTATATGGACCAGATCTGCTGCCAAGAATGAGAGACCTGAGGTGTCAAGGGTTTGGAGGATGAAATGTGGCCAACTTAGCCTTCCAGTGGGATTTGGTCTTGGCACCTCTGAAGAGTAACCCTCTGGAAAGGCAGACTTTAAGTGCTTCAGTGACAGCCATGAATCTTTACAGATGCACTTTCAAATGGGGACAGCTGGAGGGTAACAGTCCCTAAGCTGACTTTTAAGGAATAAGGGGGCTCACGGATCCAGAAAACGTACGCCTGGAGGGGGCAAGGCTGTCAGACAGCGTCTTTACCTGACTGTGCCCTGATCCAACACCTTCAGCAAGCGCCAAGAAACGCTCTAGCACAGGGCCACTGCAGCCGCCCACAAGACGAGGCCATGTTGGGCTGCTTCTAAGACAGTCCCCATGATCCCCACCTCCCACCAGTCACACCCACATGGAGAATGCAGGTGAAAGCTAGGGGAGGTCACCGCCAAGATTAAATGATAAAAGGCTGGCTGCTGTCCCATGGGCACTTTCTCTTGCTTGCTCTTTGGCTTGCTCTGATGAAGCCAGGTGCCATGTTGGGAGCTGCCACATGGAGAAGCAGGACCAGGAACCAAGGCAGGCTTGGCCAACAGTGAGGAACTGGGGCCCCGGTCCAACGATCCAGGAGGTTCTGTGTCTTGCCAACCACCACCGGGGTGGTCCTGGAAGTGGAGCCTTCGGCTGCTGAACCCTAAGCCTTCAAGGGACCAGGTTCAGAAAACCCAGCGAAGTCACCCCTAGATTCCTGATCCTCAGCAACTAAGAGAGAATAAATGTGTGTAGGTTTAAACCACTAAGTTTCGGGTCATTTGTTATGCAGTGGTAACAGTGCCACAAAACTGGATCTGTCCCCCACAGGGAGGCAGTGGGGAGATATTTTTCTCAGGACCTGGGAGCAAAAGGAAGAACCACAGTTTTCCCTAACGACCGTGTTGTTATAGAAACAATGAATCATTTAAATGCGCCTGTTTTCTTCTCTACTCTGGCTATTAGAAAGCTCAGAACCATATCTCTTAACAGCTTCTAGCCACTGTGACGGACCACAGGGAATGCTTCTCCTCATCTTTTTCACTGACCTTTTTTCCCCTCAGGGCTGATCTCTTTATTAATACATATTTAGGGCAGCCCAGGTGGCTCAACGGTTTGGTGCAGCCTTCAGCTTAGGGTATGATCCTAGAGACCCGGGATCAAGTCCCATGTCAGGCTCCCTGCATGGAGCCTGCTTCTCCCTCTGCCTGTGTCTCTACCTCTCTCTCTCTCTCTCTCTCTCTCTCTCTCTCTCTCTCTGTGTCTCTCATGAATAAATAAATACAATCTTTAAAAAAAAAAAAAAAACATATTTAAGGGGCACCTGGGAAGCTCAGTCAGTTAAGCAGCCAACTCTTGGTTTCAGCTCAGGTCATGATCTCAGAGTCCTGGGATGGAGCAAGCCCTGTGTTGGACACTAAGCTCAGCAGGGAGTCTGCTTGAGATTCTCTCCCTCTGCCCTTCCAATTCATGCTCTCACTCCCTAAAATGAAGAAATAAATCTTTAAAATATATGTATATATATATGTATGTATATGTATACATATATATATATACATGAAATGGTAAGTTGTCAGAAGTTTGATGGTATTAAGGAAAAGTGTATTTTTTAAATAGCCCTTATCTTTTAAAGACACAATATGGAAACTTTAATGGATAAAATATGATAATCTGGGACTTACTACAAAATAACCCAGGGCAGGGGTGCCTGGGTGGCTCAATTGGTTGAGCGTCTGACTCTTGGTTTCAGCTCAGGTCATGATCTCAGGGTTGTGAGATTGAGCCCTGTGTCATGCTCCACATTCAGCACAGAGCCTGCTTAAGATTTTCTCACTCCCTCTTCTTCTGCCCCTCCCCCCATGAGCATCCTCTCGCTTAAAAAAAAAAAAATCCAGGAGAGAGAGGTAGATGGCAACAAAAACTGACCGTTAAGGGTAGGGATTGTTTTGGGGAGAGTGGGATATGGGGAGTAAAGAAAATGTTGTGGAATTGAACAGCTCCACAACCTACATAACCTGCATAACTACACTAACAACCACTAAATTCTATACTCAAAAATGGTGGATTATGTCTCTGGTTTTTTGGTTTTGTCTTTTTTTTTGTTTAAATGGACCATTAGTTGGTAATGGTTGAACACAAGTGAGAGATAGAGATTCATCATGCAGTGAACTCTACTTTTTGTTTTCATTTGCAATTCCCCTTAACGTTAAAATCATGCTGTGCTGTACTGATGGTGGCTCCCTTTGGTGAGAAGGTAGGGGCGGTGACCAGAGAGGCCACATGCAGTGACTTCTGAAGTATTGTGTGTCCTACTGGTTGGGTGGGTAGGTGGGGTACAGGTGTCCTCATGTCACACTGGTGATCTGCATGCTTTACTGGGCATATATGTCACACTGCAATAGAAAGCACATGGTGCCACCATGGGAACTACATAAACTGCCTCATACCCCTTCTAGACTGAGACAGGGCACGCAGGCACACCCAGCAGACTGCTCTAAACCAGGACTATCACATCAAAGGGTTGATAAAGATGGCTCTGGACCCCAGCTTTCTTTCCTGACTCCCATAAGATGGCTAAGAAGAGGCAGCCTTACAGGTGGTCAGGCCTGAGCAGCACTTCCTACACCACACTTTGCTGAAGAAGCTCTCATACATGCCCTTACCACTCTGTATTTCCAAAGCTCCCAGCCCGGGTGGTAAGTGACCTCGTACCTGTGTGGAGTCAGTGACGGAGGCCAGCTGCAGATACTCAGAGTTCCCCCAACCGAAGAGATCACCCTCAGCAGACACGGCCAGGCAGCAGTCACCATAGGTGGCCACCTGCACAACATTCACTCCAGCCAGGTCTCCGCCCAGCTTGGTGGGCACGCTGGTGATATCGTAGTGACCTAGACCTGACATGGTGGCAAAGCGTTACTCCCAGTTATGGACTCCTGGAATAAATACTTAACACAGACTTACTATGTGCCAAGCACAGTTTTCAACCCTTTACCAACATCATCTTGGAAATGCTAATCTAGGAGCAGCCTGGGTGGCTCAACGGTTTAGCGCCCCCTTCAGCCCAGGGTGTGATCCTGGAGACCCGGGATTGAGTCCCACGTTCGGCTCCCTGCATGGAGCCTGCTTCTCCCTCTGCCTGTGTCTCTGCCTCTCTCTCTCTGTGTCTATCATGAATAAATAAATAAAATCTTAAAAAAAAAATGCTCATCTAGGGACGCCTGGGTGGCTCAGCAGTTAAGTGTCTGCCTTCCACTCAGGTCGTGATCTTGGAGTCCCCAGAATGAGTCCCGCATTGGGCTCCCTGCATGGAGCCTGCTTCTCCCTCTGCCGGTGTCTCTTGCCTCTCTCTCTGTGTCTCTCATGAATAAATAAATAAAATTAAAAAAAAAAAAAAAGAAAGGAAATGCTAATCTGTTTCTCAGCTGCTCTACAACTTCCTTCTCCACCCTCTCTCAGAGGAGGATGAAACGGGAAGAATGATTTATTTGTAAGACCCCTGAGGCTTTCTAAGTCTGATTCAAGTTAGAAACCTATGCCAGATAGAACAGCCCTACAAAATAAGGCCAGTGGATCCTAGGAGAATACACACACAGAACACTGCAACAAGCAATCTCTAAAGCACCGCTGAGCTTACCAGAAAATAAAGGCAATCTCCAAGAGCCCAACCCACCCCAGCCCCCTACATCACCTCCCAAAATAACAGTACACCAAAACTGGCATGCTGGCGTGGCAGACGGTGAACAGAGGAAAAGGCAGGGCTGGCCAGAGGATATCAGGACAAATGTCACCATTAGCACTGTGATGGAGAGTGAGCCCTGGGCAGCAGACCAAGGCAGAATGCACACCAGAGACTCTCGCTTTACACCATGCTTCTGTAAAGGGACCCAAAGCAACGTCCCACTGGCAGCACCCCTTAGCAACCGGCAGAAGCAAACCCGAATCCTCTCTGGAGTAAAGCGTCTCCAGTTTAGGCCCTTCGAACTTCCACAAGTTGGATTCAATGAAATATAAGCTCATGGTCAAAAGTTACTCAGCACTTAAGGAAGGATACCCGTGAGTCAGAGAGTAAACTGAACCAACAAACAACCACTTGACAGTCTCCAGACTTCAGTCCCTGATATTAGAATATACAAAACTTTAAAAAAAATAACTCTGTGGGCAATGTTTAAAGAGATAAAAGCAGGAACAAGGGACTATTGAAAATGCCCAGGTAAATCTGAAAAGGAAGCAATAAGCAATGAAGAAAACAGTTAAAATTCAAAACTCAAATGGACAAAAGGTCAAGACAAACTCTGGGAGAAACCACATGCGACGCTAGAACTGCAAAGAATACAGGTACAAGGGACGCCTGGGTGGCTTGAGCACCTGCCTTTGGCTCGGGGCGTGATCCTGGGGTTCTGGGATCAAGTCCCACATCGGACTCCCTGCCTGGAGCCTGCTTCTCCCTTTGCCTATGTCTCTGCCTCTCTCATGAATAAATAAAATCTTAAAAAAAAAAAAAGAATACAGGTACAAGATAAAAGAATCCTTAAAAATCAATAGGAAAAAAGACAAGTCAGCAAATGGGCAAAGAACAGAGTGTATGTTTCAGAAGACAGAAAACAAGACTGGCCTGTAAATTTATAAAAAGATGGTGGTCACTCTCAAGCAGTTATTAGGAAAATGCAAATTCAAACCTTAGTAAGATACTATTTCCCGCTCACGAGACAGGCAAAAGCTTTGAAGTGGACAATAGTAAGCCTTGGCCAGGCTGAGAACACCACCTTGCAGCCAGGGGACACTTGGTTGCAACAGTTTCAGAAAACAATCATTTGAATACAGGAGCATATTCTACAATCTCCTGCCACTCACAGCATCTTCATGAGAGCACTAACATGTTCTAACATGTGAATGGGAGACACAGTTGGCCAGAGAAACACTGCTTGACATATAACAGAAAGTTGTAAATCGTCCAAATATCGATTGATGGGAAACTGAATACACGGAGGTATATTCAGCGGTAGAATGTCGTACAGCTACAAGAATGAATGAACTGCACTCAGCAAAGAAGGATACAAAATCAACACACAAAACGAACTGCATTTCAGGGGCGCCTGGTGGCCCAGTCGGTTGAGCATCCAGCTTGTGACTTCAGCTCAGGTTTTGATCTCAGGGTCGTGAGATTGAGCCCCACATTGGGCTCTGCACTCAGCAGCAAGTCTACTTGAGATTTACCTCTGCCTCTGCCTCTCCTTCCATGCTCTCTCGCTCTCTCTCAAATAAATAAATCTTTAAAAATAAAAATAAAAAATAAATAAAAAACAGATCATTGATGTATAGGTTTACTTCTGGACTCCCCATTCTATTCTAATGGTCTGTCTATCCTGATGCCAGTACCACATTGTTTCAATTAGTTTAGCTTGCTATAAATTTTGAAATCAGAAAGTGCAAGTCCTCCAACTTTGTTCTTTCCAAAATCTTTTGGCTATTTGTGGTCCCTGACAATTCTATTAGAATTTCAGGATCAGTTTGTCCGTTTCTGCAAATAAGGCAGTTGACATTTTGATCAGGATTGCACTGAATTCGTAGATCAATTTGAAGAGTATTGACAACATATCATCTTTTGTGCATACTATAATACATGTATAATAAGATTTAAAAAAGAAAAAACTCAAACCGTGAAGGATTATGAAAGAAAGGAACAAGATCCTAAGATAGAATCTGCATGGGAGGAAGACAATCGTTTTAGGAAGGATGTCCAGGAAAGACTTCACAGAAGAGATGGCACCCAAGATGAGGCCTAAAGGATGAAAAGGAGAGCAAAGACAGGCATTCCAGGCAAGGATCAGCTTGTGCCAAGGCCCTGTGGCTGCAAGAGGAGGCATGCTCTAGGAACCGCTGCAGGGGCCTGTGTGACTGGACACTAAGCCCGGCAGGCAAGGGCAGGGAGGTGAGAAGAAGTGTCACCTATGACAGCTCATTTCTGGAATGGCACCAGAAAACTGTTAACCATGGTTTTCTCCATCAAGTGGGACTCGCACTTTTAACCTCATTTCTGTGCTGTCAGGATGCATCTATCAACGATATTCTTATTTTTATAAAAAGCTGATCTTCAAAAATTACCAACAGCACGATTTTAAAAATAAAAAGAAGAGCGAGCTTTACAGTTACCAAAGAAATGAGCATGAAAAAAAGAGGTACAGTGATGAAATTAGCACACTTAAATTGACCATATTTGCTGCTAGAGAGGTTATGGCTACTGTAGTACTTCCATACATTGCTGAGGACAGTACAAACTGATAAAACTCTTAGAAAGCAAGTTAACAATATATTCTGAAAACACAAAAATATTCTAATCTTTTGACCCACTCCTGGACATTTATCCTAGGGCATCAATCCCAAAAAAGAAAAAGTGTACATATATGTGATAAATGTCATAATATCTTCAATGACCAATGTGTGGTCGCCCTCCCATTCCCCTACACTGCTCCAAAAAGTATACCTCCTGAGCAATAGGGTAATGATTAAGTAATTATTTGATAAATAATTATTAATTTACCTTATGGTAAATTAGCTTGATGCTGCATCATACAAATATTAAAAACCCCATTGTGAAATCTATACCAACAAAACTTAAAAGAGAAAACAAGCATATAAAATCACATCTATGTTATAATATAAAAGATGTATACATATGAACAAGAACCAGAAGAAAACGCAAAACAGCAAACAAAGGTGATGCACTGTGCTGGCAAGATTATGTAGGATTTACACAAAATTTTATTTTATTTTTTTTCAAAATTTTAATCTTAAATTTAAAGGCCTTCCCTTCAAATATCAAAAAACAAAAGGATTAAATAAGCAAGGTTAATAAAGATTATCCCTCATTTCTCCCACCCTTAATCACATTCTCCTCAAAAGAGTTAAAATCGAGTTCCCTTTAGATGGCATTTGTGTATCTGTTTGTTGAGGGGTGGCTGTAATCCTCTACCCAACCCTGGACGGGTTGGTGGCCATGGGAGGAGGGGTGAAGGGAATAAGGCGGGACAGACTAGCTAGTGTGGTAAGAGAGGGAAGAGTCTAAGGAAGGTGGGGGCTAGTCCACAGGAGCGCTCCAGCTCACACCTCCCTAGGGCACCAACCCAGGGGTGAAAGGTCCCACTACCTGTTTGCCCATCAGCACCCCAGCCACAAGAGTAGACTTCTCCTTTGTCCGTCAGGAACAAGCTATGGTCCTGGCCACAAACCACCTGTCAGACAGAGGTGAGGCTGATGAGGAGAAATCCTTGGAAGCCCAGTGTCCTGGTCGATGGACCCAAAGCTCACCACATTCCCTACCACTCCCAAGCAGCAAGACAGCTGGGTCTAGGCAGCTGCCCCACATGGCCTCCACATCTTATTCTTGCCCAGTCCCCTCCTCCATCAGGCTTTCTCTTCCCCATTCCCCTCCTCTGCCTCTCTACTGGCAGCTAATCTTTGTCACTAGCTCACCATCCACCCTTCCAAGCTCTCAGGCTGCCCCCTTCTTCAGCCATAAAACCTTTCTGGCCCTGGTCTATCCAATATATGCCTCTGCCACCTCCCCCACGATGCCTTCTCTCCCTCCCATTCCACCCCTGAGAGACTTAACAATTCTCCTGTGCTTTCAGGGCCCTTCCTGTAAGCACCTGCTTATGCATTTAAGTATTTACTGTAAGTACTTCCACATGCCAGGGTCTGCACCAGGGATGGAAATGAAATAGTGAGCAAGATATAGCCAGCCTGGGACACACACACACACAGCTACTTTACCCTGTCTCTCCCCCTTAGAGTGTCATCCCTCAAACCTTATTAAACTCTGTACCACCATAACCTAGTGAGAACCAATACTCTCCTGACCTACAGTAGACAGGCAGTAATTTTTACAAAAATAGTGTATTAATTCAGATAACTGCCCTAACCAATGTGCCCTCACCGCCCCCCTCCCCCACCTTTCACTCCTGCAAAAGCACCCCTAGGGGCTGGATGAGTGGGGCTCTCAGCACTTGTCTCTTACCTGGACCACCTGTCCATCGAAGTCCTGCATTCTATTGACTTTGTGACTTTCACTGTGGCGGGGGGGGGGGGGTTAGGGCATGGAGTGGAATTTGGGGAGAAGAAAGACATATGGTCATGGTAAGCACTGTGTGGTCCTACCTCCACATGCACACAGTTACAGTTAGGGAAAGTCTCAAGGTCAAATATAAGGCAGAGGTAAGCCGAGGCAGGAGAGTAAAACAAAACAACTCTTTAAAAAAAAAAAAAAAAAAAACTCTTTGGTAATTTTTTTTTTAATAGGCTCCACGCCCAATGTGGGGTTCAAACTCACGACCGCAATATCAAGAGTCGCACGTTTTCCGGACTGGGCCAACCAGGTGCCCCCCACTTTGGTAATTTTAATATGCTGCCAGAGGTGAGAGTGGTATTTAGACCCAATTTGAGGAAGCAGAGGGAGTTTTTTTAAAGACCAAAACAAATAAGGGGTTCCTGGCTGGCTCAGTGGGTACAGCAGGTGACTCTTGATCTTGGGGCCATAAGTTCGAGCCCCATGTTGAGGGTAGAGATTACTTAAAATCTTGAAGAAAAAAAAAAGACTAAAATAAGAATAAACAGAGAGGAATTTTTAAAGTTAATCCATTTGGTAAAATAGAAAACTAATTCAAAAGAAGTTCTATGCACCACAAGAAATGCCTGTCTGCCCTCCCTTCCACTGAGCTAATGCTCAGAGCTCAACCTGCAATGAAGCAATACCCTCCACACAGCTTTCCAGTGACTTCTCACCACCCCTCTCAAACATGGGGAAGCTAGCCACTTCCTGCTCAGTGGGTCTATCACTCAGTAACCACACGGGAAATGTTAAATCCTTAACACGATCTAGGGAAGTCCTTTGGGGAACTCACCTGTAAATTTCATTTTCGACCACATTTCTTCCACATTGCCCGTAAGCGTTGTTTCCCATGCTGAAGACTAAAGAATAACACAACCAAGGAAATCAGTTCTGCAGGTTCTGGGGATCCCAGAGTGTGAGGACTGCAAGGGGCTCTCGGGAGTGGTCTTTAGTCCAACCACTCACCCTAAGCACTTCTGATTTCCTTCTCTCATCCCCTCAGCCTTTGCAAGCACACCCGCAGACATGCTGGGGGATCTGGCCGCTTGACTGTCCCTGCTACCTCTGCCTTTCCCTCTCCCCCTCTCCCTCGCAGGCCCTCATTCCACCTCTCAGGAATTCAGCACTCCGAGGCAAGCACCTCCTGGGGAGGGCCCCAGCACCCCTACTCCCTGGATCTGTCACTAGAGCATGCCCTCCACGCCAAACCTGCTCTTCAAAGAGTTCCTGAACACCACCTTTGCCTTTGCCACAAAGCAAGCTTAGCCAGAAAATGAAATTGGAAACATTTAGTCAAGTTGGCCTTTGCCTAGAAATAATCGCTCCTCTAGAGAGAGTCCGTGTTATCTGGAATCTGGAAGCCCACCAGTTGAAGTGCTGGCAAACAGACTCCTTTTTTAGTACAACAGAAAAAGCTGTCTACACGCACAGCCCAGCTCAGCGACTTCACGGCAAAGCAAGTGGGAGGCCTTGCTAGGGTGGCCCAGTATGCACTGTCACATTTATAAATACTAGAGGTTTTCTAAGAATCACAGAGAGCGGAGAACATCAAAGAGCTGGCAGGATCTGTCCAATACGGTGATCTTGAACGATCCTACCAGTATGGTTCACTTATAACGAAGCATATATAATGAGTATTTCTTGTTCGGGAAATGCCGGCAGCCTCAACTAATTACATGTGGTTCCATCAAACGAAGCAGTTTAGACCCAAAGGCAAGAAAGTGGTTCCCCTACTCCCCCATGAACCTGGCAGAGGCCAACTCACCTCCTTCGCAGTCTGTCAGGATAAGAGAGTGGGCTCTGCCGCAGGAGACCTGCAGCACCCGTGTCTCCTGGGGTCTGTCTAGAGGCAGTGGGACAGGTGAGGGCTCCAGAACATACTCATATCCCCGGGCTGAAACAAGAGTGAACAGGTTCACAGTGCGTCATGGTGATGGAGAGCCACAGCACTCCTGACATTAGTCAGCTGGTAACTGAAGCTGGCATGCTTTACATAACTCTGTCCATTTCTACATATGCCTAAACTGCTCTCAATAAAAGCTATAACAGAGGAACCCGGGTGGCTCAGTTTATTAAGTAGCTGCTTTTGGCTCGAGTCATGATCCCAGGGTCCAAGGGTCGAGCCCCACATAGGGCTCTCTGTTCAGTGGGGAGTCTGCTTCTCCCTCTCCCTCTACCCCTCTCACTGCTCACCCTATCAAATAAATAAAATAAAATCTTTAAAAAAAAGGTATACAGGACGCCTGGGTGGCTCAGTGGTTTAGCATCTGCATTCGGCTAAGGGTGTGATCCTGGAGTTAAGGGATCGAGTCCCACATCGGGCTCTCTGTGAGGAGTCTGCTTCTCCCTCTGCCTGTGTCTCTGCCTCTCTCTCTGTGTGTGTCTTTCATGAATAAATAAATAATCTTTAAAAAAAATGATAATAAATGCAACGTGGAGTCTTACAACAGACTTCAGTGCTGACTTACAAAAGAATTTTAAATATAAAATTAAGTGAAAGAAGGCATAAAATACACACTGACCAAAACTGTACAAAAATGTATGCACATGAATGAGAGAACAAGAAAAAAAATGAAATGTTTATCCAGACAATACAGCCATCCCCCCTTATCCATGGATACATCTTGGATACATCCAAGATCACCAGTGGATGCCTGAAACTATGGATAGGACCAAACCCCATATGTACCATGTTTTTTCCTATGCATACATATCAATGATAAAGTTTAATTTATAAATCAGGCAAGGTGCCTGGGTGGCTTGGACCGTTAAGCATCCAACTCTTGATTTCAGGTCAGATCATGACCTCAGAGTCCTGAGATCAAGCCTCACATCGGGCTCCACTATCACTGCAGTTTGCTTGGGATTCTCTCTCCCTCCCCCTCTCCCTCTGCACACACTCTCTTTCTCTTTCAAATAAATAAATAAAATCTTTTAAAAAAATTTATACACCAGGCACAATAACAGGAACACCTTTACTTATCAGTAAAGGCTCTTTTGCCTAAAGATTCAGTGTTATTACCAAAGAAGCTGACAATCTAGTCCAGGGCAGCCCTGGTGGCGCAGCGGTTTAGTCCTGCCTGCAGCCTGGGTGTGATCCTGGAGACACGGGATCAAGTCCCACGTCGGGCTACCTGCATGGAGCCTGCTTCTCCCTCTGTCTGTGTCTCTGCCTCTCTCTCTCTCCCTGTGTCTCTCATGAATAAATAAATAAAATCTTTAAAAAAAAAAAAAAAAAAACAACAACAACAACAATCTAGTCCAGATAGTTTCAAATAACATCCATGTAAGACTCCATCTACTGTGTTGTGCCAGTCTGGTTTATGTCATCAATATTCTTGAAAACAAAAGGGAGCTCCCTCAGACCAATCACAGCACAGAGAAGCCAAGATGAGAACACTCACTTTTATCTTTGTGGCTCCTGTGAAATCCAAGCTGGGAATCTTTGTTGAGCCCCATACCCCAAACTTTCGTCACATCCTTAGTTTTAGAAGAGAGCAATGTGAATCCATAGCCACAGGCAGCAGATGAAATCTGAAAAAGAATTCCAATAAAGCATGAACTGATTTGTGATATCAAGTTTTTTCCACAATAAATGACAGGTTGTTTGCTCAATCAAAGAACATACAGTATTATATGTGGCTGTCAATTAACCGTCTGCCTCAGCTTAGGTCATGATCTCAGGGTCCTGGGATTGAGCCCTGAGTCAGGCGCCACACTCAATGGGGTGTTTACTCCTCCCTCTCTCTTTGCCCCTCCCTACCACTTGTGCACTCTCTAATAAATAAAATCTTAAAAACAAAAAAAGAAACTAGACAAAATTGTAAAAAACAAAAAACAAAACAAAACAAAAACCTTTTCAGGGATCAAGAAATCAAAGGCAAATAAATTGAGAAATGTGGGATGCCTGGGTGGCTTAGCAGTTTAGTCCTGCCTTCGGCCCAGGGTGTGATCCTGGAGTCCCAGATCGAGTCCCACGTTGGGCTATCTGCATGGAGCCTGCTTCTCCCTCTGCCTGGGTCTCTGCCTCTCTCTGTCTCTGGGTCTCTCACGAATAAATAAATACAATCTTTAAAAAAGAATAATAGTAAAATAATGAATAAACAAATTGAGAAATGTTTATTTGTGAAAGACTGCTAGAACTTCAGGTAATGGGGGGGTGCCTGGCTGGCTGAGTCTTGATCTCGGTGTTGTGAGCTCGCACACCACACTGGGTGCAGAGATTACTTAAATAAGTAAAACTTGAAAGAAGGAAAGAAGAAAAGGAAAGGAAGGAAAGGAAAGGAAAGGAAAGGAAAGGAAAGAAAGGAAAGGAAAGGAAAGGAAAGGAAAGGGAAAGGGAAAGGAAAGGAAAGGGAAAGGGAAAGGGAAAGGAAAGGGAAAGGGAAGGGAAAGGAAAGGAAAGGAAAAGGAAAAGGAAAAGGAAAAGGAAAGGAAAGAAGAGGGACACATGGGTGGCTCAGCGGTTGAGCATCTGCCTTTGGCCGAGGGCGTGATCCTGGAGTCCCAGGATGGAGTCCCGCATCAGGATCCCTGCACGGAGCCTGCTTCTCCCTCTGCCTGTGTCTCTGCTTCTTTCTTTCTGTGTCTCTCATGAAAAAATAAAGAAGAAAGAAAGAAAGAAAGAAAGAAAGAAAGAAAGAAAGAAAGAAAGAAAGAAAGAAAGAAAGAAAGAAAGAAAGAAAGAAAGAAGAGAGAGAGAGAGGGAGGGAGGGAGGGAGGGAGGAGGGAGGAGGAAGGAAGGAAGGAAGGAAGGAAGGAAGGAAGGAAGGAAGGAAGGAAGGAAGGAAACTTCAGGTAACAGCAGCAGCAAGAACTTCAGGTAACAAAAGAAGGAGGAAGAGGAGGAGGAGGAGGAGAACAACTTCAGGTAACAACAGAAGAAGAGAAGAGGAGGAGGAATTTCAGGTAACAGCAGAAGAAGAAGAGGAGGAGGAGGAGGAAGAAGAAAGAACTTCAGGTAACAACAGCAGGAATCTGCAGACTTCCCATCTGGGGTCCTCCATCTACTCCAGCTCAATCAGCACACTAGTTTCCAAAGGGCAGGGTTGACCATGAAAACCATCAACTTTGTTGCCAGGAAGGACACACTCACTTTGGGGTAGAAAGTGAAAACTCATGCTCAGTAGTGAACCCAGTGAGAAACAAACAAGGAAAATTCACAACTTGGCCATCTGAGGTTACAACCCTGACCAGGGCAAGAGGAGAGGCAGACCAGTCAAAAGTGCAATGGAAAGATCTTAGAAGTGAAATTGCCAGAGAAGGCTTTCCACACATCCACAGTGGACTGGGAAACTCCGCAAGTAAACGAGGGAGATCTGAGGATCCAATCCCAAGTAAAGCTGAGGCAGACTTGAGAACAGCCTGATATTTGAATGTGGTCCCTGACCTATACACAGAATCAAAGGTAGAAGGTAGAAACCTTGAAGGCTTAAAGTGTCTGAGCACAATCTCTGCCCAAATCATTGGCTGACCACAAAGGTATATGCTAGGAAGCAACACTCAAGCCAGGCTGAGGGATCCCTGGGTGGTGCAGCGGTTTGGCGCCTGCCTTTGGCTCAGGGCGCGGTCCTGGAGACCCGGGATCGAATCCCATATCGGGCTCCCGGTGCATGGAGCCTGCTTCTCCCTCTGCCTGTGTCTCTGCCTCTCTCTCTCTCTCTCTCTCTCTCTCTCTCTCTCTGTGACTATCATAAATATTTATCATAAATAAATAAATTAAAAAAAAAAGTTAAGAAGCCAGGCTGAAAAGGAGGGCGCAGAGAGACAAATCAATAACTGGAACAAAGGTATCAGTAGCCATGCACAGCAAGGAAGACTGTATACTTGAAGTCCAAAAAGTTACTAAATAAATAAATAAATAAATAAATAAATAAATAAAAGGGCGGGGGGTGCTTGGGTGGCTCTGTCACTTAAGTGGCTGCCTTCAGCACAGGTCATGATCCCAGAGTCCCGGGACCCAGCGCCACCTAGAGCTCCCTGCTCAGCAGGGAGTCTGCTTCTCCCTCTACCATACCCCCCGGCCTGTGCTCTTTCTCTCTTCCCCTAAAATAAATAAAATCTTAAAAAGGGGGGGCAGGGGCAAAACAAAACCTCAAGGGAAGAATATCAGAATCCAGACATGCAAAGACCTACACCGAAGGGACAAAAGCAGCCAAAAGAAACTGACACTAATGGGACCCGGACATTGGATTTATCAAAGACTTCAATAAACTGTTGTTCAAAGTATATTTTAAAGCCATGTTAAAAATAATAAAATAAAATAAAATAAAATAAAATAAAATAAAATAAAATAAAATAAAATAAAACAAAACCCTGTTTAGGGATACCTGGATGGCTCAGTGGTGAGCATCTGCCTTTGGCTCAGGTCGTGACCACAGGGTCCGGGGATCAAGTCCCCCACTGGGCTCCTCATAGGGAGCCTGCTTCTCCCTCTGCCTGTGTCTCTGCCTCTCTCTGTGTCTCTCACGAATAAATAAAAGCTTTAAAAAAAATAATAAAATAAAGAGCAAGATGGTTGATGTGATCCAACCACATCGATAATTCTGTTAAAAGGACACGGACTGGGGACTCCTGGGTGGCTCCGAGATCAAGTCCCAAGTCGGGCTCCCCACAGGGAGCCTGTTTCTGTCTCTGCCTGCGTCTTTGCCTCTGTGTGTCTCTCATGAAAAAATAAAAGCTTAAAAATAAAAAATAAAAGAAATAAAAGGACATGGACTGAGTGGCATCAGTGAAAATGGAGCAGCAAGCACACTGGGGAACGTCAGAATGCATGCTTTCAGAGCCCTGGAGATCAGCCAAAGACTTAAAGCCATCTAGGGAATGTTCACTCAAGAAGAGCAGCTGTAGGAACAGCAGCAAGCTTTGCAGCATCCCAACCTGACCCGCTCCGGTTCCGAGAAGCTCGCAATCGCAGCGCAATCGCAGCGCAAACCCGCAGTCGGGCAGCCCCTGGAGAGGCAGAAGGGGCCGCAGCAACTTCGAAGCGCCGTCCCCAGGGCGCTCTCATCTGACCTGCCCGGGGGAGGTGGTTCCCCGGGAGACCCCAGGCACAAGGCTCTCCTTATCTGACCTGACCTAGATACCACCCAGTGCAAACAGCCTTTCCCCCCAGGGACGTGTGTCGAAGAGCCTCAGCGTCGCTGCAGCTGCAGCTGCCTCCGGTGGCGGAGAAGAGCTGGGGCAGGTAAGAGGCCAACAAAAGGGGTTCCGGACTAGCTTGACCCGACGGCGGCTTCGCCCGGACGGCAGTGCGCATCCCTCCAGCACACCTGGAACACCCACCTGGAACACCGTAAGCCGGGCTGACCGGAAGCCGAAGCCGGCCTCCAAACTAAGCCTCTAGCGTCCCGGGGGGCGCAGCGGTTAGCGCCTGCCCTAGGCCCAGGGCGTGACCCTGGAGCCCCGGGGTCGAGGCCCGCGTCGGGCTCCCTGCACGGAGCCTGCCTCTCCCTCTGCCTGTGTCTCTGTCTCTCTCTCTCATGAATAAATAAGTAAAATCTTAAAAAAAAAAAAAAAAGTCTATTCTGGAACCGCGAAGAAATTAAAGTGCGCCCTAACGCGCTCCCCCCGCGGCCTGCAGCCGCCGCAGGGTCCTCCTCCCCGGCGCCCGCCCGCCCGCCCGCCCGCCTGGGGGGCGGCGGCGGAGGCCGGGGGGCGCCGCGCAGCCCGCACCTTCTGGTCCAGCTCCAGGCGGTAGGGCACCGGCTGGATCCTGCGGGGCGGACGCGAGCCGGCGCGCCGCTCGGGCCCCGCGCGGGGCAGCACGAAGGTGGGCACGCCCAGCGCCCCCGAGAAGCTGAAGCCCCACACGAAGACGCGGTCGGCGCGGGCCGCCCGCTCGCCCACATACTGGAACACGGGCGCGTCCGCCTCGCGCCGGCTCCGCGAGCGCCCGGCCGCCGTCCCGTGCCCTCGCGCCGCTCTCAGCGCTGGGCCGGAGCCCGGCCCGCTCAGCAGCCGCCCCAGCCGAGCCCCGGCCTCCAGCGCCGCCGCCGCCATGCTGCGCCCCACGCCTCAGCGCCTCCTGGGCGCCGCCATCCTGGTGACCTCTGACCCCACAGCCCGGCGGAAGAGCCCGAGGTCACGTGGACCCCCGGCTGACGGCAAAGGCGCGGAGGGCCGCCAACGGCCGGGCGGGGGCGGGGGCGGGGCCGGCGGCGGGGGCGGGGGCGGGGCCGGCGGCGGGGGCGGGGCCGGCGGCGGGGGCGGGGCCGGGGCGCTGCGCCCCCTGCTCACCTGCCGGCCCCCTCGCTCCGCGGCCGCGCTGCTTACGGAGCGTTCTCCCGGCCCCCGCGGGCAGGCGGCGCTGTGGCCGCGAGGGCTCTTTGCCGCCTGGAGCTCCCCCGTCCCGGTCCACCGCTCCCGCCACGGCGCCTGGTCATTCCTCGGCCGGCCGCGCCGTCTCCATCGGCTCCGGGAGGCTCAGGGGTGCTGCAGCCGCAGGCCCGGGGTGCAGCTCTTGCCGCTGCCCCGGCTGCCCGGCCCTGCAGGGAGGTGCCGCTCCCCGAGCCCAGCCGCGCACCCCGCTGGCGGCCGGCGGCCTTCCTTGTCACTTCCGCCCCAGGACTGGTGCAGGCCTCCCTGCTTAGCACGAGGGCCCCAGTGCCCCTCCCCGTTGCGGGTGTCTAGGGGACCCCGACTCACCCTTGCTGTGGAATCCTGTGCGGGGGCGGGGGGGGGGGCTGACCGGGAGACTGGGGACTGGGGTCTGGCCCTGGCCCTGCGGCTGACTTGGTAGGTGGCTTTGGCAGGTTGTGTCACTTCTCTGGATGGCACCTCTAGAGTGAAGACGTAAAAAAAAAAAAAAAAAAAAAAAAAAAAGTGAAATGAATTCTTTTAAAAGATTTTATTTATTTATTTGAGAGAGTTCACAGAGCAGGAGGGAGGAGCGGAGAGAAACAGGCTCCTGCTGAACAGGGAGCTGCAAGCCAGGCCGGATCCCGGGACCCCAGGATCGTGACCTGATCTGAAGGCAGACCCTTAATGGACAGAGTCACCCAGGAGCCCCTGAAGTGAATTGGTTCGAATAGATGAGATGTGAGGTGTCTGTACTTTGTGACCTATAGGATCTCTTGCAGCCCATATGATGCATAACAGGCTACAAATGCTGAGGACAGAATTCTCTGCCACGAGGCACCCCAGAGGACGGTAGTGTTCCAGAACAGCAGAGCTAAGTGGACGGACGTGACAGGAGAGGCAGCGAGGGCAGGGTGGCAACCGTAGTGCCTTAGCACCAGAGATCTCTGACTTGGCTGTCTGACCACAGTATCCCAAGGGATGAGGCATAAAGGCGGGCAGCTACAGTGCCGCCTTGACGTGTGTGACTAGAAGAAAGTCTGACCCAGTTCTCAGACCAGAATCCAGCAATCCTATGGGAAGCAGAATCCAGTTGAGGAGGGACCCTGCAGAGCCAGCACTAGCAGAGGCAGTAAATATTCCAATCACTTACCCAACGCATCTGTGATTAGTTACCAGAGTTACTATTCACTGGAGAAATGAGAATAAGCAGATCTTCCAAGAACTTGATGGAGGGTGTGAGATGAGAGTGACACCAGGGGACCTGAAACGCTGGCAAGGACCACACTTAGAGGAGGAGCTTATGGCACCAGCACAGGCATGGCTCTCAGCGGGTCCGTGTGTCCATGGACCAACCCTGTGAAAACATCCCGGATTCCTGAGTACACAATTGAGACAGACATACTTAGGAACTCATATTCGTTCCCTCATTGTGTCTTGACCCAGCCAGTATTCAATCAGAAGACAGAATGCATCTCAGGTGGACTCTCAGACCTGAGTGCACCTTCAGAGATGCAGAGGTTGCAGGGGTGGTAGCTCCCATCATTATCCCGTTCAGTTCACTTGCTTGGCTCCTGCAAAGATCAGACAGATCACGGTAGATAATAGTAATAAACTGGCCAAGAGTGTAGCCCAATCATAGCTGCTCTGGAACAGATGAACACAGTTTTGGAACTTACTATGGCACACTGATCTGACGGATGGGTTCTTTTCAATTCAAATAGAAGAGTCCCAAAGGCAGTTTGCCTGTCTATAGGCAGGAGAGTATTATTCATTAAGCCTCCCTGACCTTCGGCTCCTGGTACCTCCCAAAGTAAGTATCTGTGCACAAGATCTTCTCTTCAGCTCTGCTTTCATTTATAAATCTGAGGGGCACCTGGGTGGCTCAGTCAGTTAAGCATCCAACTCTTGATTGCTGCTCAGGTCATGACCTCAGGGTCATGAGATCAAGCCCCATGTCAAACTCCACACTGGGTGTGAAGGCTGCTTGGGATTCTCTCTCTCCTCTCCCTCTGCCCCTCCCTGCTCTCACTCACTCTCTTAAAAAAAGAAAATCTGAGGGACGCCTGGGTGGCTCAGCAGTTACTTGTCTGCCTTCAGCTCAGGGCGTGATCCTGGAGTCCCAAGATTGAGTCCCGCATGGGGCTTCCTGCATGCAGCCTGCTTCTCCCTCTGCCTAGGTCTCTGCCTCTCTCTCTCTCTCTCTCTCTCTCTTTCTCTGTCTCTTCGAAACAAACAAACAAAAACCAAGACATATGTCGGTAAAGAAGAATTACATAAATACTAACACATTAGTGAGGGTTCTCCAAAGGAGCAGAACTGGTAGGAGAAATAGGAGTCTCATGATCTGTCTGCCAGCCAGACACTCAGGAAAGGCAGAGTAATTCCAGTCTGAATGCAAAGGTCTGAGAACGAGGAACAACAATGGTGTAAATCCAAGACCGATGTCCCAGCTCTAACGGCCAGGCAGAGAGAAAATCCAACCTTCCCCTGCTTCTTCTGTCCTATTCTGGCCCTTGGTGGGTTGTATGTGTCCCACACACACTGGGGAGGGCAATCTTTATCCGATCTGCCAATTCAAATGCTGCTGTCTTCCAGAAACATCATCACAGACACACTCAGAAATAATATTTAACCAGCTCTCTGGGCATCCCATCGCCCAGTCAGGTTGAATACATTTATCAGCATAACTAACCATCTCAATTATTAATGTAGTTATGGAATGTTTATCTCTTCATGAAATGTGTGTCCAGTTCTCAGCTGCTCTTGCACAAACAGGCTTTTCCATTTATCTGAGCTCATGGCCTCTCTGAATCTTTTTTTTTTCTTTAAGATTTTATTTATATTTTCATGAGAGACACAGAGGGGGAGAGGCAGAGACACAGGCAGAGGGAGAAGCAGACTCCCCGCAGGGAGCCTGATGCCAGACTCGATCCCAGGACCCCGAGATCACGCCCCGAGCCAAAGGTGGAGATTTAACCACTGAACCACCCAGGCGTCCCTGAATTTTTGGTTTTAAGTATCTGTTCTTTTACAAACTGGCAATGATGGTAGATTGGCCTTTTAAAAATCTTGTCAGAAAAAAAAATTAAAAATAAATAAAAATAAAATAAAAATCTTGTCAGAATGTTTGTCAGAATTTAAAAGTTATGGCGCCTGAGTGGCTCAGCCAGTTAAGCATCAGGCCATAATCTCAGGGTCCTGGGATCCAACCCCACGCCAGGCTCTGCAGGGAGTCTGTCTCTCCTTCTCCCCCGGCTCACACTCTCTCTCTGTCTCATAGAAATAAAATCTTTTAAAAATTAATAACTAGGGGGATCCCTGGGTGGCTCAGCGGTTTAGCGCCTGCCTTCGGCCCAGGGCGTGGTCCTGGAGTCCCCGGGGTCGAGTCCCACGTCAGGCTCCCTGCATGGAGCCTGCTTCTCCCATCTGCCTATTTCTCTGCCTCTCTCTCTGTGTCTCTCATGAATAAATAAAATCTTTTAAAAAAAATAATAACTAAGTAAAAAGATTTTAAAAATTGAAGGGCACCTGGCTGGCTCAGTCAGAAGAATGTGCGACTTCATTTCGGGGCTGTGAGTTCAAGTCCCACAACAGGTGTAGAGATTACTTAAATATTTTTTTTATTTTAAGGAATTAAAAAATCAGGGGATGTCTGGGTGGCTCAGCGGTTTAGGGTCCGCCTTTGGCTCAAGGTGTGATCCTAGGGTCCTGGGATGAAGTCCCACATCGGGCTCCTCATAGGAAGCCTGCTTCTCCTCTGTCTGTGTCTCTGCGTCTCTGTGTGTCTCTCATAAATAAATAAAATCTGAACACACACACACACATTTGACTTATTATCCTAAATTTCCGGGACAAAGGGCACAGGAGTGAAATCTGCAGTGTGAACCACAACCACTAGGTGGCGATGCTCGCCCATCAATTTTGTGTCCCTTGTTTGCCAGGAAACGATAAAATAAACCACAAGCCAGTTTTTGGC